CTAACCCAAACAAACACACAAATACAACTTACCGAACAAACAAGTACAACAAATGATACAACATATATACTACAATCAGAGATTCACCTCTGAAGCAAACCACATTATCACGACCCATTAGTATTCAACCCAAACGCAAAAGCCTAAACAGCACTTTAGACTCACAACATGACACACAACATACTGTAATATCTCCACCCTTAACCAACCAATCACACAAACACAACTTCCTGAACAAACAAACGCAATAAATACAAGTAACGCAACATGCCCTACAAAGACGCCCTCACTCAATAAAGTTACACGGCCTAGCACAGCTAACAAACACAGTACTCTTTCTTCTCAGAAACACACCACGTTATCACAACCCACTCGTACTCAACCCAAACGCAACAACCTTAACAGCACTACAGGCTCACAAAATACTGTAATGTCTCCACCAATAACCCAAGCCACAACACAAATACAACCTCAAGAACAAAGAAACACCATAAATATAAGTAACGCAACATGCACTACAAAGACAGGTCCACCCAATAAAGTTACACGCCCTAGCACAGCTAAAAAACACATAACTCCTTCTTCCCACAAACACACCACGTTATCACAACCCACTCGTATTCAACCCAAACGCAAAGCCAAAGAAACACTTACACAATAAACTCCATTTAATAAAATTACAGGAATTATTATAATGATTTTTGTTTTGTTTTGTTTTGTTTTCCTCTTTCCTGATAGCGTTGGCTATTGTGCCCATCAATAGGTATGTTGGTAAGTACGAATTACATACTATCCCTAGATGTCCAATGTACGTGTGTGATTTTTTTTTTTAAGGACCCTACATAACTTCACCAGACACAGACACAGACACTAATCGTTACTTGATTTTAATCCGTGCGATTAGTTAACCAGGCTAGACCTGCGTTCTCACAAGAAACACCGACCATAATAATAATAATAAATTCAACATATTTTTCTCATTATAAAGTATAAAATTTGGTTAAATCATCTGCATAGAAATCTCAGAATTCTTAAAAATATAAGCAACTTTGAAGTTCTATACCTTTTTTAATAAACATTTCACAAAAACTATAAGAAATCAAACAAATTTCAGAGGTTTTGGGGGTGTACTGGGAAAGCACAAGGGGTGTGAGGTCGAAAACTTAGATTCTTAACCACCAGGTGACTGTCTATGACATTCAAAATAAATTGAAACTACTTCTCATTTTGCAAGTTAAAACCCTCTATTCCCTGGACTAGTATCTACTCTCAAGTACAAAGACAACGTATCTAAGTTAACCTACCCACAGCGGTTGGAGCGAAGATAACGCAAATTCGTCAATTAACAAAGTTTTAATTAGTGGTCAATTTCCTCTTCAAGGATTGATACCAATTCAATATCTTCAAATTTTTACTGTCCATAACTAGTGTTAGCTTCACTAACTTATCGATGTCTGATCGTTTCAATTTTGCATGTTATGAATATGCCCTCTTCTTAAGAGACCGCGATGGTTTGTTAACGTATTCGATCGTAAACCTGGATACAATTACTTGCTTTGGGGGCTTAAAGAACCTTTGATATCTACCTTTACCGAATGGGTTTCTTGTTCCCTGTTTGTTTTTCTTTTTGTATTTTAGATTTATATTTAGATAATTAATCGTTCCTACTTACCTAATTGTGCAAGTAGGTAGGTATATAAGTGTGATCGCAAAAAAAGGGTAGTGTTCCTTTGTGTTTAACTTTATAAGCAATCAGTTTTCAATTTTTCATTTCGTGTTTCGCAAAATTTTCCATTTTCCATTACATCCAAGCTTTTTCTCATGCTAAGACGAATCTTTCAATTTCAATATTGAATCATGGGAAAATTTCATTAGAAATATAGTACTTACCACCACCCTCATCTCCTGTCTAGTCGGATCTAGCAGTTGCAATTGACATTTAAAATTGACGCAATCCTATGTTTTTTACATCGACGATTATCTGCGCGGGAAGGTTTATAGTTTTATACAATCAGATATTAATAATTTTGTTTTGCGGCTTGCGCTTTTTACAAAGAGACCAACTTGTGAACTAAATTTTAGCGTTTGCAATAACTCGTCGGCTATTTTTAAATCGGAATTATTTTATTGCGCATAGCTACTGCAAATGCAAATTTAATCCATTCCATATGTATCTCTAGTAATCTAGACATAAATAACGCGTCGATTTTAATATCCCTTGTACACATCGGCTTACAATTTCTGTCACTTCCCTGTGTGTAGTGCTCGAAGTAACAATGCCCAGCAATTCATTAGATTGGGTGAACAATAGACAATTCTCGGCCCTTGCACTTGAGGGTCTAACGCCCCTAAAGTGTGGATAAAATACGTAAAAACCCCACTGCGTCAATTTAATACTGTTTCCACACACACACTCACAGTCGATATAGGATTCATCGGTGGGGTTTCTCTCCCTAAAAGTCCATGCAGTAATTGCAACGGGAATTACCTACCTACATAGTTTTATATTCAATACGTAGCATCTTTTACAACAAAATCAACGCGGCGGTTCCGATTTTTCATATCTAGATTATGCGTCTATTGAAAAAATGCAAAGTAAAAAGAAGTTTGGAAATATGTAACCCTTACGTTTTCCGTTGCATATTTGGTCATTTAGACATATTTTAGTTCGTCTTCATGCAATGTCTGATCCGTGTAATAAAACTTAAGCACTGCCATGTGGTCACAATACAATTTTCCTATTACGTTATTAAAATTGAAACATTTATACAATGATACAGCAACCAAATTTTCACTTCTGAAAGCCGCGGTTGGCAAACCTTTATATGACTAGGACAGTATTTCTTTTTTAAATTTTTTCTCTAATTAAGAAACTGAAGCCATCCAAAAGCTATAGTGTATTCTTTCAGCTGTAAGGTGTGTTGCCTAATCGTAGGGGTATGGTATGTCCCCACTGGTTCAATGGTTTTTGAAATGTAGATACCGAAGTTATAACGTTTGCAGTTTGTTGAGGTTCTGAAGATGTAAAACAGTAATAAGTGTTTGTGTTATTTAAAATCTTTTTTATTTACTTATAAACAAGCACAATAATTATTACAGTTACCTACGTCTCAATAGGTGAAGTCGTTGCGAATCTGGATCTGTTTCATTATAAATATAAAATTTGACGGGAGCATTGATTAACGAGCTCCTAGCGAGTTTATAATTTTGCGGTGTCTGTCCGTCCGTCCATCCGTTAGTACGATAACTCATAAACGAATGGACCCATCACGATGAAATTTTGCAGGTGGATTCTTTATCAAAGTTTTAGATCAGAATTCGTGAATTGGCAATGTAGACCAAAAAAATAAAGTAGGTCCTTTTGACATCTTCGTTAGTTATGAACCGATTTGCATGAAATTCAATATGCGCATAGCTTTATCCATATAAAACACAGTTCCCAACAGTTGAGCCTAATCGATCAGCATTCACAGTGCCCTTTGCGCATCTCGACCATTTCAGACCGAAATGCAAATTTTCTTATTTATGAAATGAAATTTGATACATAGCCACTTGGAATAAAGGCAAATTTAGCGCCATTTTCCAAATTTGGTTTTGTGTAAGATGTGCAGTACCAACTTTCTTATTTATGGAAGCAATTAAATGAAATTTCATACATATGCACTTTAAATAAAAGCAAAACTAAAGTCAAGTTTAAAATTTGGTTTTGCAAATGCTATATAGCCATACCCAGGAGCTCGTTTGCTATATTTGTTTAATTTATTTTTCGTTCAATCGTGTCATGTCATAGAAAGCATTTTCTTGCTAAAAAATAGACATAAATTTTTCAAAATCAAAATACTCCCGACAAATGTGATGATTAAAGAAAACATAACTTTGTAATGTTCCCTATACTTACAGTTGACAACTCTGGGGAAACAGAATATAAGCTGAGTCATCTACTTTCATGTTGAAAGGACGGACATTTCGCGGTAGGTAAGGAGTAGTAATTTTATTAGTAGTCATAGCAACTTACTTTCGAATCTCAATATCAATCAACTAGGACCGGGCAAGCTGTCTCTTACGGTTACGCATCTGATAGGTTCTTTCAACAGAAGCGATCGCGATCGCATTCAAATTACATTGAAAGAACAAATCAGATGCGTAACCGTAAGGGATAGCTTGCCCTCTTAGTTTTCCCTTCTCTCTCACCTGCAGTATCCGCACTTATCATTGACACGCGGAGTTCATTTATTATATGTCGATGAGTGGTACGAATAGAACTCCTACGTTATATTTACTATGACAAAATGTGCCATAACACACACAAATACCCGGAATGCAAAAACCAAACGTATCTCAAATCGTACAACAAAAATCCGACAATCGAATTAAATATGGTTAAACAAAGTAATAGAATCGAGATACAAGTGATATAACTACAAAAGGAACAAAATAATCATTTTTGTGCAAAAACATCATAAAATCACAACTCATAAAATAATGATAAATTGCATGACCTGTAAAGAACATCATATGGGCATGGATTTGTTCCGGTATCATCCACCATTAATTTAAGACGTGATAATCTAAGTAGCTAAAGTAGACCATCACACATGCAAATCCGCATAGTAAACAACAGAGGAAAAAGTTTTTTAGAGGGGGCTCCCTTCTCATATTGGCGCAGTTCGCACGAGACGAAAAAGAAACATATACAGCGAAGAATCCATCTGCATGAAGTTCTTTCTCCATGAAAATACAAATCAAAACATACAGTGCAACATCATACTGATAATCTACTCCCGCGTGAACATGTTAAACTAATAGTAAATATTATCATAAAATTTGCCCGGATGACCATATGCACATCCAAGCCAAGCCAAAAGTGACTTATAACGGTAAATACAAAACAATATGCCTTCTTACCTCATAATGGAGATGGAGAGAATGTTCCATCTTACTATACCTACATATAAATATAAATGGGAAAAGGAGCAAAGAAAACTACTTTTAAACGCTCTCTCAATTTAACAACAGAGATCCTGTTCTAACAGCAGTTAACAAATACAACCTACACTTTTAAATTAAAACAAATCCTGGAGTTTAAAGCTATTTCAACAGTTAATTTTTTAAAAAACATTTTCCGCAGATCCTCATAAGATTTCCTCCATCAACCGATGTTCAACTTTTTCGGTATCCACGTTAGTCTAAAATGTGATGTTTTTAACGCTTCTAAATAATAAGTCTTCAACCTTACTGTATTTCTGATATTAATAAACTGAGGATTATTTTCTTCTTTGTTTAAGGCACTTAAATATTTTTCTCTTAGATATATGACAGTATCTGTGTGAGTTTTATGCTTCACAGCCAATTCTAACGCTCTAAAAATGTCCTACAATAATCGCATGCCACATACACGAATTACCTATTCCATTGATGCAGCTGAGTATTTATCAAAATTGCCTGATACACCAGGCCGTTGTGCAACAAAATTGATTCGGCATTTTGTAAAGATCCGCCTAGTAACGACGTCGCTGCCATTTGTTGAGCCTTGCTTGGCAGCGTCTAAAAATCTACAAATAAAAAACCGTGCACAAGGTGATTTTAAACAGTACTTTTATGTGATCAATATAGTAGACCTTATCGTACTGCCGAATTTCCGAAAAAGCCTCCGCTGCCATTTCTAGTAAATCTATATTGTTAGACTGCGTAGCTAGTACGGCTAAACCGGTCCATAATATTTTTTCTTTAATTAATCTGCATAGTAGTAGCGCGTCGTCCCACTTGTTATTTTGTATATGCCTGAAACATGTGCGTTAAGATTTGATTCTTTAAAAAAATTAATCTAAAAAGATTTTCCGCTTCTGTCTGTGTCTCAGATCAAAGGTCACACTCTGCTCTCACCAAATATTAAATGATACAAGAGAAAGCCTCAAAATGTTTATTCAAACTATAGATGCTTACGGAAACCTAACCCTCTTACTAGCGCTTTCCAGTGAAAACATACAAAATTACCTGTGAAGAAGAGAAGGGAATGGAGATATGGGGATGTTTATTAGAGAACCATCCGCTCTTCGAATCGACACAAAGTTTCCAATGAAGTAATTAATTCGAGGACCACGACCTAGTTCAGGCGAATTGTATTCTAAAGATGACATATTCAAAAGGGCTGTATTAAAACAAGCAGTCGGAAAGTACCATATGATCACATAGATATCCTGTATCGCCGCCAGCATATTTTCTTCAGTATTCCATTGAAAAGATTGCATTTGGTTTCCTACAAAACAATGCTTTATTTACAAGTAAATAAATTTAGGTAAGAGTACCTAGCTTCAAAGAATTTCTGTGTGATCGAGCTTGTGTGAGGAACAAATCTTTGTTTCGGTCTAGAATGGCTAAATACTGCTGGGAGGGTATGCTTGCTTGGTCCAACGCTATTTGCATAACCGGCCTTGTGTGTTGTATGGTAATGGTGGTATCTGATATATTTCGACTCGATGCCAAATCCATAATGTAGATTGCTGCAAGATAACTTCAAGTAAGTGAATACTGAAATATGGACTTACTTCTTAAATCTGACGTATCGCGTACCGCCAGAGTGTCATTGGACAAGCTGACATGAGCGCTTCGAAGAATATCAAGCCTCATGTTTGGCCAACGTGGTGATGCAATTAATCTACCTTGATAATTATAAACTGAAGCCGAACTTCGTTCGATGATCAGTAAATTTCTTGAAAATGCAATTCAATGAGTTCAAAATTTTCAGTGCACAATTCTACATACTTCTCACTCAATAATAACAGTACTACAGAACCATCTTTCAAGTCAAAAATGTTTGGAGTACTCCAATTATTACTATTATAAATGTAACACTGCGAAGGGGTGGTTATAACCAAATTCGTGTACTTAAGTGAAAGTTGCATGACGCGCTCCGGCAACTCCAACAATTCCGAAGTGTCGTCAGATATGTTATGGACAATTACAGTTTTCTTATCTTGAACTGTCGCACTGTAGTTTAAGTAATGAACTTGTCTCTCGATCACGTGCGCAAGTAGTACATGACCGTTAGCGCAAGCTGCAGCTAATTGAGTTCCGTCATTTGACCAATCTAATTTATATATGGAACCGGTGTGTGGCTTATCCAACGATCGGGACCACTGAAATAATAATCAAGTTTATTCATACATTGTACGAGGGCAATCTTCTAAATATAAGACCCTTAAGCGTATCATCGTGTTCTTTTACCAAATCATCAATAGGTAGTTACTGAAATTTTGGAAATATTGGAATATAAAGAACCTAGGTAAAGGTAGGTTGACATTGCGCAGTTTGCGCATGCATACATCTGATTTTTACAATATGCGATATGCTTGTCTTTATTCGTGCTCCAACCCAGGGGGTAATAGAAAATGAATACGAACAGGTGGTGTCACAGAAAGATCCGATAAGTCCGCCAAAATGTCCTCTAGAACTGCACCCCTATCCTTAGCCCCACCGACTTTTACCATATATGCACCCCCACTATTACCATTCCAAATCTCCCTTGTTTTCTACCCATACAGACCACCGAGTAAGCAAGAAATCGAAAAGAGAGCGACACCCTCTCCGGTACCTGACACTAATCTTGCAGCCGTTCGAGCCGAAGTGTATTGGCATTGTGGTCAACCAGGACATTTGAGGTTCCACTGTAAAAATCCTTTTCGAACATTTTGTTCCAGGTGTTTACTCCCGCCAGATGCCAGACTCCAGACCACGCCAAAGGGGTAGGTATATCATCACATTAGTTTAAAACCAGATGCCGAGCCGTGTAAAAACGGTACTATGCCGCGATGCAAAAAATAATGCATGACGAGGTCATCTCCATGTTTGTCGATGGGGTGATTGAACCTTTTAATAGCCCGGGGCTACAGTGACCTTATAGAGACAGTGGCGACAACAGGGTATCTCGTTTTTTGATTGGTCGTTGGTTCCGGTCCCCATACTGGAGCTAAATTCCAAACTCGCCAATAGAAAGCCTCCAAAACGACGCGGTACACTCCGTGCTATAATTATTAATTATACTGTTTTGACAGTGTCACCTGTAACTGTCACGGCTACACGTTACATACTAGTTTCCACTTTGTTTCTTGTATTTGCTTTATTTTACGTCTCTAGTTTTATATAAACTCGATTTTTAAAGACGCAGATATATAGCCGAGGATATACCTTGGATTTACGATTATATAAGGTATATAATTCGCTTAGAGTGTTTTTAGATGTAAAACTGTGCCTAACCTGACTACTGGTAATTGATGTAAACAAATTTTCAAAAGCCCTAAATACCTAATGAGTTTAATCCACGTTTAAGAACTTAAAACCTTCCCCATAAAATTCAATTTATTCAAGAATTTGATGTTGTAAAATAAGGCTAAGGCGACATGTTTCAGCTAACAAGCCATCATCAGGCCCTAAAAGTTCGGCTTTAACAAATTTGATAAGAACCAAATGGCGACAAAACTTACAATCTTAAAACTAGTTTTGTCGCCATTTGGTTCTTATCAAATTTGTTAAAGCCGAACTTTTAGGGCCTGATGGATGACTTGTTAGCCAAAACATGTCGCCTTAGCCTTATTTTTCAACATCAAATTTTTGAATAAATTGAATTTTATGGGGAAGGTTTTAAGTTCTTAAACGTGGATTACCATTGCACACCATTTCGGGTTAGAGAAGGAAAAATGGATACCCAAAGAACTAATGAGTTTAAATAGAAAACTGGTTTAAGAAGCAGCTTATCAAAATTTTAGCAGCAAATTCAATTATGGTTATGGATAACGCAATTGTGATCATAAATACCCTTGAATTAGTTTAATGTTTAACATTGGTGGTTGCTGAAGTTTCCCATATATCTTTTTGAATTTGGGAGGAAGCGGTTTTCCCATAGGTAGTTCTGAAAAGCTTTAAACGATCATTTCTGCGCCGTTAAATGAAACTGACATTTATTATTCTACGGTCACAATTTGACATGACAATATATCGATGTTACAATCAATTTTTGAGCTCCAATATGGCGGATTGTGATAAGTTGTCGCCACTGTCCTTATAGTCACTGTACCCGGGGTCATCGTCAGTCGTTTTGATCCGTAAGCCTAATTGAAAATACCGTTTTTGTATTGATTTTCGAAAGGTTAACCAGTACACCACCAACAGTAGTATTCCTTTACCCATGATGAAAAGTATCTTGTCAAAACTATAAGGCGCTATGTTTATCAACATCTTCAATCTTCGTCAGGAATATTGAAAAATACCCCCTGATAAAGTTAGCAAACCCATCACCTCATTTACCGTACCTGACCGAGGGTTACATTCAGGTCCCGCGACCTTCCAGAGGCTCTTAGAAAAAAAATATCTTTTGCTAACCTTGAAGACAAAATTATGTTACTCGTACGTAAATACCTTTACAGAGCATTTAATGAAATGTATACAGTATACAGTAAATTTTTTTTTTTTATTTAATTTTTTTTTTATTTTATTTTCAATATGTTAATGTTGTAACCTTTTGTTAAATTCATAAATATAAAATATATATATAAAAAAAGGTAAAAAATAGAAAAGTACAAAATGAAAATCTGAAAGAAGTGTTCCAACGTGTGCGACATTGGGATTTGACACTTCAAATCATTTGGATGTAGCGTCGACTTTTTGAAATTCAAGTCAAGGAGCCATAGGTACAGGGCGCTAAAGAAAAGCATTGAAACGTCAAAAATTTTGAAAAATCTTGAATAACTTGAAAACCTTTGATGCTGCGATGATGGGTATAGGGAAATGTGCTATAAAATGACGTAGATTTTCATGTGGATTTCGAAAACGCAATAAAATATAGGGTGTTCTATTTAAAATAAGAAAATTACTATCCGGTAAAACCGGAAGCGAAATGATCATGATATTTTTCCTTCGATGGATCATAAAAAAATTATGTTGGTATGCAAATTTTCAAATGTAAATTAGTAATGGAAGTCTAAATACTTTTAGGAAACGGTTCGCGTGAAACAGCCTGTATAGGGAAATTAAATTGTGTTTCATTTCAGTTCCAACAAGGATGCCGAATACTGAAATTCGCGCTCGTTTTATAAATTTGAAGTGATAAATAATATTTAACTATTATAACTCTATAAATTCATTACAATAATAATTACTTGCACATACATTACCTACACTGTAGCTTAGGCTAGGCTACACCTACTCCCAAATTCAGGAAAGATGTATAAAAAAATAGATTCTGTACAGAAAACACATAAAAAATAAAACACCTAGGCAACACATCAAACACAAATCCCTTACCGACCATATACAGAGTGATCGAAAATGATTGATATGTTTCCATTTCCCATGCTGACAGATCCCCCACTAAGTGATATGGAAACATCTTCCAATTATATTCAATCCATCTGTATCATGAATATACAAATTAACAATGGAAAATAATCCTATAGACATGTAGACTGCTCATTACATAAAACAGTGTGCAACTTTGTCAGTATTTCTAGATTTGAAATGTAAAATTCTGACCTCTGAATTCACATACCTACGTATAGGTAGATCTCTTGGTAGTTAAAATTTAATTTTAACCATACAAAACATGTGTGTATATGTTTTAAATTTCATCAAATGATCAAACAATATGCAATTAACGCAGGTCTTACCCCCAGAAAATCGCACAATCGCAATGTATTATAAGAGCCCACAGCAAACAGATCTCCATTCGGCGACCAAGCTAGGGCAGTTATAGGTTGATCATGCAAAGAACTCGAATATAAACAGTGGCCATGATTATCCCACACCTTATATCGACAATCCTCCCCTCCCGAAACGATTAACTCACATGCCGAACTCCACGATAAGCATAGAACTAACCCCTCGTGAGCTCGCCACTAAAACAGTCAAGTTCATGTTATGGTATAGCTATGCACCACTTACCTTGACGGGTTTAATGTTAGGTGTCAACTGCTTAATAATAATAAAACATCCGTGTGTGTATAAAATGGCCTGGCTATCAGGAGACCAACATGCATCGTAAACGGAATGATCACTTTGAACTACGGTTGATCTTAGCATACCTCCCCTTGACCAAATCTTAATAAAACCGTCTTCACCAGCTAAGGTTACTTTGTTAACTGACTGCTTAAAGCCATTCATTCACCTGTTAGTAATCCTGCGCCATCGTGACTCCATTCGCCTCTTAAAATTGCACCTTTGTGTGCGTCCACTGTTCTTTCAATTCTACCATTACGATTAACAATGTGATATCTACCATCCGTTGCAGTTAACAAAATCAAATCTCCATATTTTCCTAGTGAACCGCTAGCTCGAGGAAGAAAATGTAAGCTTGTTGGAAACAAGTCAGCATTGAATTCAGATACTTTGGAGGACTCGTTATTGGAGACACTCCACGATAATAGCTTGTTGTCTTCCCTAGTAGTTGAATTAATAACGAATTGTGTCGAGTTGAGTACCTACCCGGCGGAGTAGACTTCTTCGGCGCTACTCCAACCGACGCACGTTACGGATGCATTATGTGCAGGTTCTTTGGCCAGTGATATTTTAAAGCGCATTTTGTTAGGGAATAGACCTGATTCTCGTCTTCACTGTATTGATTTTAAATTTAATTAAACATTTACAAATCACATTGTTGTTGTGACAGTTGTCATGGGAACGCCTCAATAAATTCCCATTTCTTAAATATTCTAACTGGTGTTCCGATTCCCATTGGCGAAATAGTAGCGTTCCCGATGTTTAAATAAAGGCGCTTTTACAGTTTTCTGGAAAAATTAATACTACATTTTCTTTGGTTATGGCTGTTTAGTTTTTAGAGAATGGTGTGTGTGGAGAATTTGACTAAATATAGAGAATTATTCGAGCTCAAACAAATTAATCCTGTCTATATTTACAAAAAATCGGTATAATTATAGTTAAATATGTTACTTACATTTTAATTTATAGTATTTATGTATGTCCACAGAAGTAAATTCGTTAAACTTGCAAATTAAAATATATAAATGCTTTCCCCGTCGAATATACATTACGTGCGGTGCACACAGCCTTTTATTCGCATATAAGTATTTATATTTTGCTGTGATCAACTTTTAGCAAAACAATAAACCAAATAAGTACAATAGTAATTATATAGGTAATAGAGAATTCGTTCTCTATTCTGAGGAAAACTAAAAGCTTGTTTTTACTATTATTCTTTTACGCTTTTTAGTTTAGATTTACAATGACGTTAACTTTTCAGAACCTGTTCACTTGACATCATTATTATTTGAGTTACGAAAGTGGCGTCCGCCATATTGAATTTAAAATGGCGACGTTTAATAATTGGTCGCGTGGTATTGTTCAATTCAATCAATCAATTGATAGAGGTTTACTGGTTCACATTCAGATTTCAAGATTTGTCTCACACAAACTAAGAAGAAAGAATGCAGACCGAAACAGTAATTGCTTATTAAATGATTTTTAAAAAAGCAGGAAAACCTTATGCCATTAAGTACATAAAGAATGGTCAAAATGAAATTAGTAATCCAGCATCAATGGGTTAAGAAAATCGATTCCATTAATATTTGTGTTATCCAATTGTTTGGCATCTTGTCATCCACCTCTGTAGAGTACGCTTATAGCTTAAGATTGCACTCTGTACACATAAATGAAATAAACTAGTATAGTAGTTCCCACAAACCATTTGTGTGTGCAATTTGCATATTATAGGTACATATATCTATGGCAATTTGTGCTAGTTCCATTCGTGAGTTGCACACATCACAACACCATAATTACCTATCCCAAAAATTTCATAAAGCCACATGCCTATAGAAATGTCCTGTTATCTCTGGTCATTATAATTATAAATAAAAGTTGATCTGTTTAAGGGTTTTGTTACCGTAGGTGCTCCATTATACAGGTTGGCTCATGGGAGCATACCTACTCGATTTTGGAAATGATAAAAGCTAAAAAACACAAATCAGTAACCACTGCTGGTATTTGAACAGGCACTTGCTCGGCCTTTGTGGTATCACCCCAGGGTGCTTGCACAACTCAGATTCTTAGAAAACCTTTGTACACGCTTGAAAGCCTTATCTTACAAACACTTAACATAGTTTGTCCTTTTACTGTAGTTACACTTCAAATTTAAGCACAACTCTAATACAGAGGACACATAGACCTAAATAAATTCACCTTAGTTATGATTGTAATAAAGCTACATCTTAGGTACATTTTTACATCATAATACATTATGGTGGTGTAGATAGGTACCTCACCGGGTACAATTTATTGTAAGTATATAATATTAAGTTGGCCATAACAGTAATAAATCAATTGTGTTTAAAAATAGAGGCATACAAAAATTTATTTGCATAGTACATTAATACAATCGCTTTTAATAATTCAATGATTAATCTAACTGCAATAATTTTAGGTAATCTACATACTGCCCCTCACGCATAGAGTCAATTTCTTGCAACTTTGAATAACTTGCAATCTGCTCAGTTTTATAACTACCTTCATCCATCTGTAAATTTTTTAAAAGCCAACATTTTGCCACTAGAATCCCTGAAAAAAGCCACATTTAATAGCAATTAATGACAACTGTTGCATTTACATTTGCATTCTGGTTCCAATTCTAATAACTGATTTAAATTATCTAGTAAATCTCTCATATGATCATGTGTAACAACGGAATTACTCAAAAGCCATCGAAGATAGAACCAGGCGCTGCTATCCATAGGATCCGTAAATAAGGCACTTTTGACTAACGACAGCTCATCTTGAACACAGTCAGCTGTTAAAGCTTGGAGTGTACTACGATAATGCCAAGAGGAATAGTTTGAAAAATTAATATTGATGCGGTTTGTCGAGAATTTCAATTCATCGCCCAAAGTAATACCTATTTTATTTAAAACTAGTCTCCTATAATCCCAACAGTGGACTAAAAAGAGGATTATCATAACCCAGTACTTTATTATCATACATACAATTTCTCTCGTCCATTGTTAAGTATTTAGAACATAAATCAAATTCATTCTGCCAGTTACTGTTTGGATGCCTTGCCAACACCCAATAACGATGGTGCCATGAACCATATGATTTCGGATTCGCTAGTAGGCACTGCTCTGTTAATTTCAATTCGTTTTCCAGAAAGTTAGCAAGTTGCTCAGACTCGTCATTACTGAAAAGAGTGTAAAATGTGCAACAGCTATTAACATCATTGTAACTTATTACTCTGCTTTCAATTCTAATAAAACTACCTCCTTCCTGTAGTTCCATAAAGTATAAATGTCAGGATTAACCATAAGCAGTTGTGCACAAATTGCCAAACTTTTAGGATCGTACGTGTCTTGTTTTCTGGATTCCAGGATTTGTTTCATTCCTAGTCTGTAAGCCATTAATTTCTTTTGTTGTTCTTTACGTTTCAGCAGTTGTTGCTCCTCTGTGGTACGGACCTTCAATCTACCGTGCTAAGGTAACGTGAAATTGAATGACGACGTGAAAATGTATATTACTTACCATTTTTGTTAAAAACTATTTTTGCTAAAAGACAAAATAAACAAAACAAGTTGTAGATCACAAGTATTATAACCTTTTTTGTGATTGTCATTTGTCATATTTTATTTCATCATTGCCAACTGCGTTTCCATTACTTATAAATTCCATTTCATAAATGTGTCATTTGCAATACTATTCGAAATCAAAATATAATGTTCACATCTCACAAGGTTGTGTAAAAAGCGCTTTATCTGATGCATTTATATTGGGCTGCAAATTTTATGCCACCATCAATGCAGTTTTTAAAATCGTCTTGTCTTGCGGACGAAGCACAATTTCATACCTAATCAGTGTGTAGTTCCAATTAATTTCCTTTGCTTTCCTCATATCAACATATTTTCAGTATGTTATTATAACTTCCAGAAAATAAATATAGTATAATCCAGTGAATAGTGCACAAATCGATATCAACATACCCAGACACCTTAGACTATGGTAGGAGGGGACCCGTAATACCCAATCAAATGCAATGCTGCGAGCTGAAGCACATTTTGACTTGCTTGGTGGCAAGTAAAGCGTTTTTACTTCTTCTTTATGCCGTGCAGATGTTTGCATTTTCGGCCGTGCGTGGTTGTAAGTAAAAGTAAATTTAAGTACCGTTTTGTTATTTTGTGAAAATGGTACGGTACAGTTGCTACTTTAATCCTACGGAAATGGGCTGCAGGCGGCCATGTTATTGGAGGCAAACAGAGTCTTCACTTTACGATCATCTTTTATCCCTCCCCTCTCTTTCCTTCTCTAGCAAAACAGGAAACATCATTCAAGCTCTGCCTTTAGTAGTAAATTTGCTCCCAAGTATAAATAATGTGCATGTAATGTATAGATTTTTCCACCGCATACATAACCTATTAAACATCAACTTCGCAGTACGAGTTTGGCTGCTTAGCGCTCTTTGAAAAACGATATATTGTATAAAGTACGTGTGAATAAATAAGTCTAAAATGGCAGATGAAGAATATGATGGAGATGATGTTGGAGACGATTTTGACGAAGATGTAGAAGACGACAACATCGAAGAACTAGACCAAGGTGAAGAGGAGGGTGATAATATTGACATTTTAGCTCCAGGACAAGCAGGAGGAGGTGTTCCGAAGTCAAAGCGAATCACCACCAAATACATGACAAAGTACGAAAGAGCTCGAGTTCTGGGCACAAGAGCACTACAAATAGCCATGTGTGCACCCGTAATGGTAGAGTTGGATGGAGAAACGGACCCTTTACAGATTGCTATGAAGGAACTTAAACAAAGAAAAATACCAATAATTATACGCAGATATCTACCTGATAATTCCTACGAAGATTGGGGAATTGATGAACTTATAATAATAGATCATTAATTTTAATTTTTTACTTAAAGCAATAAATATTTTATTAATAATTTGTCTCGTATAAATTCTGATAGCGTAACTTTGTGCGTAATAGATCATCATCTGTTGTCTGCAGTACTTGAGGTGGTATCAAACCGGCAGCAACATACCTTCCCTCAGAATTTAAAAAGTTAAACGTTGTACATGCTTGTTCTGTTGGTAAAACCTCTATATTAATTAGATGTTTTCTCATGAATGGTAATAAACTTTGATAGAACTTCGGGTTTTCTAATGAATCTCCGACACCGAGGACGATTATTTCTATAGAAGGTTCCAATATAGTAAATAAACTTAGAGATTCTTCATTAATGTCCCTTATGTCTCGTATGCACCATGATAAAACTGATCTGAAAGAATGAAGATGTACCAATATATCAAGTAGTGTACTAGCAGTTTACCTAGGAAAGATCACCATGGGACCCAACACGGTAACGCTATTATTTAACCTAAACCCTACCTACAACGGTTTGATCTGAGATAAAACTGAATGGCGGCAAACTACATACTTCACTAATCCCATTTATCAACAGTCCACTGTCTGCATCGCTATTTAATATATGGGCCGTAGTTTTACCATCACCTTGATAGCTCGACCCACAATTTAACTGATTTGTGGATATAAATCTATGAACAGTAAATTACAATGGATTGCGACAGTGGAAAATATTTACCTTCTGAAGTGCTTCACATTGTAGTTATACCTAGTTGTGCGGAGAATACTTTGTACACAATTATGGAACATAGTAACAGTAATCAATTAATTCCTGATAATCAACTTTTATTATTTGAATTGAACAATTAAAGCAAAATGAGGTTAGAAAAGCTACTGTAACGTAACCACAAACGTCAGTAGCTAAACCGGAGTTAAAACATACCGGGTGCTCTAGAAATTTAAACCTTTTATAATACCATTGTTTATATAATGATGTCGACTGAAGCGTAGCCTACCGATAGATCTAGCCGTGACATTGATTTAGTGACGTCACAACTGGAGATGGGCCACTGCAACGCGATACTATGTGTTTAAATGCAATTTGATTCGCGCGCGTACTCATTTAACGCGAAAACATTTAGTAATTACTTATTTTGAGTCGCAGGATTGTTATATGTTTTTTCCTAATTATAAACACGTGTAATTATGCAAAAACTATTATTAAATACGTACATAAATAACAAATACTCACTGAAAACAAATAAAATTTAAACACATCTGCCTTTTTTAGCGTACACAACGAAGTTGAGGTAACGCTTGTCGCTTATGTGCTCGATTTTCCGTCGTCTGCCTATCTGTCTGTTCCATCGAGATTTCGGTCCCTGTACCACCTAGAGACTACGGGTTTTCGGTCATTTGTAGTTGATAAGGTCTATATTTTGCCGTTACTCATCATTTACATCCTTTTCATATATGTACCTATGATGGCTGATTTTCAAAAATGGAGGGATATGCGTCTTCGGCAAGTTTAATCTGGTCTCGTGGAACTGTTAATACTGTACCGTCTTATCTAGTCATCTTGTCTACCCGAATAATGAAAATGTCGGAGAAACGCTTTATACAAACCCTCGAGTAACTAGTAATTTCGAAATTGTCCCGGTGAATACATCTTAACCACTTTTTTTTATTGTCTTCATATTTTGGAAAACGAAAAACCGCAACCTTGTCTCTTGAACTATAATTGCTTTTGCAACCAGGGACGCAGCACGTATTTTCTTACTTATTCTGTTCGAATACAGTTAATTTAAGTATACAACATTAAAAAATAAGTTAACATAAAACCTACTTGGAATTAATTACATTAAAAGTCGATATGACGGCCGCCGTCAGTTGTGACGTCAACGCAATAGTGGGGATGAGTGTCACGGCTAGTTCTATCGGTGGGCTACGACTGAAGTAAACCACTTCGTCGGGTTCTTGTTTCAAATAATATTGTATATACAATTTTCCAAATTTTTCGGTTGGCCAAAAGATAAATAAAATTACTCTTGATATTCATGCCGAGCTTTCAGTATGTTGTGTTACGTACAATACCTTCTTCAGAACAATATAAGTCAATTATTATTCATTGTTCATAAGTCTAACATTTTAAAGAATGCGCATAAATTATCGAGTTTTGCAGATTACTTAAAAAATGTCAACAAACGTCTAGAAGTAGATTTTGAACAATTAATTGGAACGCTCCTTTTTTAGGAGGTACAAATAGTTTTATAATATATACCTAGATGAAACTAAAACCATCCAGGGACACACAAAAATGTCACCGAACCATTGAAAAAAAATAATTTTTTATTCAATGACCAAACCAACCGTTTAGGAGGAGTTCGGTCACACGACGAGGACCGCCAGACAGACCGACATCATCGAGATTTTGTTTGATTCGGATTCCTGGTGCTTCAAAACGTGTATTTCCGTAAAAAAGTTACAACAAGATACCTCCATTACTCTGACGGGCGGGAGATAAAAACGTCAAAAAGTCCGAAAGTCGTTGGTCGTTCCTCCTCGCCGTTAACGCGATTACTCAATAATGCTTTTACTTCACATTTATTGGTAGGTACACATATACGCCATGACAAGAAAAAGTGCTTAGATTTTGGAGTTCGAGCATTCCTGGAGTTTAATTGCAATGCTGTAATGTAAGGGACTAAAATATAAAAGTGTCTCACCTCCCATTCGTGTAATAGTAATTGCGATCAGTGGAGGTCATAATTCACCATTTATTGGAATAGTTGCGGGTTCACTAGGTTGTAACAAATCTTACTCCGTCTTGGGGTATTCAGACACACTGAGCAAGTAAATCCTAACTACTTGCTACTTAAAAATGTCATCTCCATGAAACATTTTTATTTTTGAGTGAGCGGGCCAGCAAAAAGATTATTTGTTGTAAGAACTCTTGAACGCGATAGGATTTCAGTTATATGGCAGGAAAAGCGCGTTGTCGTTCATTGATTACTTTTACCTATTCTTGCCAACATATAATATGTAAACGTAAACATACAAGTAATAGAAAAGCTAACAAACGTTCTTAATCAAACACATTTTATTATGAATATATCAGGTATCTTTTGTACCTACCTTCTTGTCAATTTAAGAAGTACCTACAGTACCTGGAGTCATTATTCGTTTACAAATTTTGGTAAATATGAAAGTAAGCGCCTACACTTTTACAAAATCGTACAAAGTTAATGAATGAACTAGCTATTCTAATTGTAAATACAAGAAATTGTAAGGGAACAAAAACTCTTTTATTTATATGAAGCAAATATGGAATTGCTACAACCAGGGTGTAATTCTAATGTACTCAGTTGCAGGAAACCGTATTATCAGCTTAATAATATACACTACACTATACCTACTATTGCATATGTTGCACAAGACATTTGTTTCTTGTATCGTTCGTTTCGGTTAAGCTGTGCACAACAATATGATGCTCTTTGTTCAACTATTCGGATTTATGGTGGTAGTGTCCAGTTACGAACATTTCCAAGTAGAAAACAACACTCTAATATTAACGTGTGTTATGCGGCTGATGGACCAAATATTCACAGGCGGCCAGGTAATCTACGCAATTTCCGACAATAATTACAAATACATTACACCGTCGCATCGAAATCCATACGTTCTTCTGGACCCGCTTAAAGAAATACGCACGTTTGATTCTAACTATGGCACTAATTGGATGATTGAAGCAACAACCGAACAATCTCTCTTTACAATGTTGGACCGCCTAAGCTCGAGTGCCGTTTGGAATAGAAGCATTTCAGCGAAAGGGCGATATATTATTTTGATGCCTGCCACTAATCTATCGCTTGTCTTTTTAAACCTGTGGAAATACGACATCTTAAATGCGGTTGTAGCAGTTTACAGTAACGATGTTGTATCTTATCACACGTGCAATCCCCATAAAGGTAATAACTGTGGAAAAATCGCTGATGTGTTTACATCTGAAACATGTGGCCAAGAGAAACGCATTAAATTTGAGAAATCGCTACGAAATTTCTATGGTTGTACGATGTATCATGCAGGTCCAAATGCTCAACTATTTCAAATTACTCTCAATCGATGCACATTTCAGCTTTGCTACATATCCATTTTTATAATGAAGACACTACGCGAAACATTAAACTTAAAGATAAGACCTCTCACTAACACATTCGAGAGAACAGTGAAGAGGTATGATATGGTTACATCATTTTTTGACTATGAACAATCAAGCGATTACGTAGATTTTGAACAAAGTTTGCCCGTCGAAAATCCTAAAATGTACTACGTGGTTCCTCCTCCTAGAAGAATACCGCATATAGTAATGCTGGGATACATTTTTAAGCCCATAACGTGGATAACGATCGGTATTTGTTTTATACTTCAAATAGTGACTTGGTGGTTGTCTCTGGTGCTTTTCAAGAAACATGACAAACTTCAAGCGCTACTAGAAGTGTTCAGTAACGTGGCAGCTCTTTTTTTCGGTGTGGCTATAGCTCGGACACCTACAGTAAGTGTTATGAAGTGGCTTCTTGTCGTATACCTGTTTTACTTTATTCACATTCAAACCGCTCTTACTTCGAATCTCTTCAATATACTGTCAGTCGCCAAATACGAGGAGACTATTAAAACTGTCTATCAATTGGCAAATTCGGAACTTCCAATATGTGCGCCACAATTTTACCGTAAGTACTTTCAGCGCGAAGATCCAGAAAATACAACGTACTCTAAAATTAAACGCAAATTAAAATACTTTGGCGACAGTGAGAAACCTTTTCCAACTGAACGTGCAGTAGTGCTTCGCGAATGTGCCTCTCTTACGTCAGATGTAGATTTGCATTCCATTAAAGTGGAGCGCGGCTGGCTTATTGACGCAATAGAAGATACCGAGGTGTTGAAACTGATTAAGGTTGGGATAAAAATGCGAAATGGACATTACATGATGCGTTCTATTAATAAAGTGATTACGGCATTAATAGAATCCGGCATATATGAAAAAATGGAACAAACCATTGTGAACGACAGAGGTGGTGATTTACGTGCATTTGAAGATGTCAGTGTGATTGAGGCCCTTGGGATAAAGCATTTGTACGTTTTCTTTATTATATTCGGAATTGGCTGTTGCATTTCAACTATAGTGTTTGCAATTGAAGTATTTTTTCGTAAAATTCGATAAAGATTTTCATTGTTCGCAGTTAACTGCTTATGTAAACTTGTGTAAAGTGTGCAATATTACTTCAGCCCGCATATCATTCTTTTGGGGAATAGTTGCTGGTCCATCCGGTTGCAGTAAATCTTTCAATATAATATAGGAAGCATGTATAACGCTACTTTTACATTAGGTGTTTCGTTTGGTGTGATTTAAAATAAAACATGTGCAAATTATTTTCTAAATTCCCCTTTCTACATTTTATTCTTTATGCAATTAAGACAGGTGTGGTTTTTGACAACGTACATTGGTAAGATATCAATTTTCCATGTAAGTATACAACTTGAATCTAAACTTTAAATTTCGCCCGATGTTTGCAGATAGAAATTTCGTATAAAGCCGCGACTCAATACTCTCTCGATCATCCGCTTGTGCGTGAAAGTTCCGAGCGGACTGTAAGAATCATAATAATCGGGAGAATAAGAAAGGGAACACTGCGAAGAAAAATAAAAATCTGTGAAAAGGGTTCGAAAAAACAGGAAAATCTGATGAATCGTAAAAAACATTGTAACATTCAAAAATTTATAGAAAATGTTGTTTCTCTGATTTGGATGCTCATTTTTCCCCATAACGATGATCGTATAGAACCAAAAATAATTCACCTACAGCATCTTCCCTTGGCCACATTTATGTAGAAGGAATTACCCGGAAGACCCAACCCAATTATTTATTACGCTCTGGAATATAACCTACTACCGTTGAGTTCACTCAACGCTACTACCCTTACTTGGCGTGGCGTGGTTGCATGTATTCACGTTTATTATGAAAAGTAATCTCTGTATGTTTGTCATTAACCTTGCGAAATGTAAGTGAAAGAAGAGTGAGTTTAATAAGTATAATAATAAAACGAGTAGGTAGGTATAATTTTTAAAGTGTCAAAAATGTAACGACGTTTTACAACGCTGTAGGTACTGTTTTCCCTTAAAAAATTCATTAGGGTCCATACCCAAATTCGCCGGACGTTTTTGGGCGGAAAGGCCACGGCCGGCTGGCCAGTTTGCACTACACACGTAGTTTATTATTGTGAGAGCAAAGAATATTAGCATAATATGTATTATACTATGATATTAGTTACTCTTTGGTAAGAGGACGTATGTACACTATTTGCTCTCATAGATGGCATAGTTTTAGTTTGTTTTTCATAGATATGTGTATTTATATATCTATGTTGTTTTTTCGTTTATGTTTTTGAGAAAGGCTAGACACGGCGCAGATGGTGTCGTTGTTGATTAGTTAATACATGCCAGATGGACAAGAAAGTGTCATTTCATTTTTAATTTGATAAGACGTTTAAATTGTTTGTAATTGTTTAAAAAAATTGTCACTTGTATTTAGGGACTCGGTCAATTTTGAGTTTCCTGTTAGTTTAGGCAAGCCGACGCATTTAAGTTATGTGTTGAAATCTAGTTGCTTTAGGCTTTTGAAATCATTTCAGTGCCGGATTCCGAAGTGACAGTTTTCATTTCTTCAGTAGTGGGCCTGAAATTTTGCCTGACATTTGCCGATTTTTGTTCTTACGTGTAAGCCATACTGTGCATTCGGGTGAGTTACACAGCAATGTATTCATTTTTTAAGTGGGTTCGTGAAGGAATAAATTTCTTTAGTGATTAATTAGGTTAGTAAGTCTTAAATAATCTTAGTGTTCTAAGATAACTAGACGATTCTCGACAGATCACAAGGCTCCCAAAATCGCGGGACCGTTGGGAATGAGTTGTCCGGTGATAGTTACGCCACTAACGTCTAGGTAGATATCGCAAAGCAAAAGCTACTTGAGTTCTGAGTTGCAGAAATTAAACACTTGCCCCCACATACAGGCAGGAGCAGGTTCTCCGCAAGGTGATCTTTAACACGTGTGGTGCACTAGAACGGCATCCCCGAGGGCCGGAAAATGGGCGAAGTTAATGTCGTAGTGTTGTGTACCTACTGTTGACTTTTTTTCTCAATTTTTGGAATCAGACCTACGTTTACAAATAAAAGTGGTAGGTAGGGGATATTGGACATATTTCGTAGATCCCAAACAAAACATTTCCAACCCTCCGTTTATAATCGGGAAAAACCTGGGGAAAACGTCAACGACTCACGTTTAAACATATACCATAATTTTTTGGGTATATTCAAGAGTAGAATTCTTATTGTTCTAATAAATGAGGGATTAAAAACTTCTAAATTAGTCAACCATTTATAAAGGAGTCCCGCGGGGGTGGCTTTTGTTCTTAGTCTTGTTGAAAACCTGAGCAGGATCCCTTTTTTCATAGTTGCAATACCAAATCAATCTACTTATGTCCTACAAATTGAACAGATTGATAGCAGCGATACTGGTAATATGTACCTACCTATAAATACATCATGAATTATATCAATTTGATGTCAATATCTTATCGCAAATGTAAACCTGATCTAGTTTTAGGTGGCTTTCACAACGTGGGTGGTGTTTGTACGGATCTCCAATTACAGTAAAATATGACTCGCTGCATTTGGTATACCTAGTATTAGCCCAAATATGTAATTTTGACGAATTATTTTCCAGTATGGTGTCGGATTTCTTTTACCCCAATATAGGAGGTGTGGAAGAACATATATTTAATCTTTCCCAGTGTTTGATGAGTAACGGAAATAAAGTTGTTGTGATTACGCACAGTTATGGAAATCGCAAAGGAGTACGGTACATGTCCAATGGCCTAAAAGTGTATTATATTCCTATTAAAGTTATGTATAATCAGTGCGTTTTACCGACATATTTTTGCAATATTCCAATAATTCGCTACATTTACATTCGTGAAAGGGTCGATATTGTGCACAGCCATTCAGCCTTTTCAACTTTAGCCCATGAAGGCTTGTTGGTGGGAAATCTAATGGGATTGAAGGTAATTTTACTTATGGTAAACGTTTCACATACCATAACCCGATTGCAGACAGTATTCACCGATCACAGCCTGTTGGGATTTTGTGACGTGAGCTCCATATTAATAAACATACTACTGACAATGGCTTTATCGGCATGTAATCATTGCATCTGCGTTTCCCACACGGGAAAAGAAAACACCGTTTTAAGGGCAAATACAAAAATCGACAATGTGTCTGTTATTCCCAATTCTGTAGACACGCAGATGTTTCATCCAATCCCAGAATTACGCTCTAAAGACAACGGTAAGCTTATTCAATTAATTTTGCTTTGCCATTGCTGTGTTTATCTTTTCCAGTCACAATTATCGTTCTGTCTCGGATGGTTTATAGAAAGGGAATTGATTTGGTTATACAAATCATAGAAAAGATATGTCCCAAATATCCAGAAATTAATTTTCTGATCGGAGGTGACGGGCCCAAAAGAGTGTTAGTAAGTCTTTAAATACCTACACGCCATATCAGCGACAGATTAAAACTATAATCATTGATCTTCGTACTTATAATTTTACAGATAATTACATTTATACTGTCGATGGCTAGTTAACTAATTAATCAAACATACAGTGAATTTTTTTAAAATGCGAACATAGGAGTTTGCATGCAATGTAATTTCCCTATGTTCGATTAAAAAAAACACATCAATCTATTGAGTAGTTCAAATGAGTAGTAGATACAATTGACAGCTGTCACATTTTTAAAAATACCGCCGTCCAATTTAATTAAGAAATCGGTTAGGTTATTGCTTAGAATGTCAAGGAGGACACTTCGAACATTTATTGTAATTGTTTTCGGTATTTATTTTCTTCATTTTGTGTACTGAATAGATCAAATTAGTAGAATACCAAGTGCACATGACCTACAAATAATTGAAGGTTGGTTCACAATGAGTTGTGGTGTCAGTGCGTGGCCTGTGAGGTCAAGTTATCGTAAGTTTAAGAAAAATGTATCCTAAAGTTGCTATGGTGTCACATGGCTTCTTTAAAAAAATCTTACCGAGTGCTCCATCATAAAGACTATAGAGTTTCTGTTCATAGTCACACAAGTTGCGCGTTTTGCTGGTGGGAATGTGAACCGCCCACACCTTATAGATTGATGTGTTTTTTTTTATCGAACATAGGGAAATTACATTGCATACAAAAGCGTATGTTCGCATTTAAAAAAAAACTCACTGTATGTACTTCTTTTGATATTTTTCTTTCTCTAGAAAATACCACATAGCTCTTTTGTTTAGGTTACTAGAAGAATTACGCGAACAAAGAGGGTTTCATAACAGGGTTAGGTTACTCGGTACCGTTGAACATTCAGAAGTAAAGTACGTTCTAAACAAAGGTCATATCTTTCTGAATTGTTCCTTGACCGAAGCGTATTGCATGGCGATAGTTGAAGCTGTTTCTTGTGGGTGAGTTCCTTACAGTTCGACATATTACGCATAGGGCTAAATTTGCCGGTATCGGGTTAGAAGTGGGAGAATGAATATGATCAGTAGAGGTATGGGTACTTTGATTTTAGATTACTGGTCGTATCCACTAACGTTGGTGGAATACCAGAGGTTCTTCCCAAAGATTTACTGTACTTGACCAAACCTGAGGTACCTGAATTAATTAAGGGCATTGAATCTGCACTGCATGTTGTAAAAAGCGGTCAATTCGTTTGTCCATACAAATTGAACTTGAGAGTAAAAGGAATGTACGATTGGCGAAATATTGCCTCAAGAGTTGAAAAGGTGTACGACCTAATTTCGTTTAAAAAGAAACGAACACTAAAGCAAACTTTTCAATGGTAAGTTGTAAACGTATGTTACGGTGGTACTAAGTTCAAAGTAATTTCAGTTACCTTTCAAGCGGTGTTTGGCCCTTTCTTGTTGTAGTAGCGCTTGCTCATTTGATGTTGATAATTTTGGATATATTTGTGCCAAGGGAAAACATAGACATATGTCGAAATTATCCTTCTGAAACACGCAAACAGATCAAGAAGGATTAATTCCCTAAATTGATTTCATACATTGCATACCAATAGTCCTGTAATTCCGTGTAATTATATCTGTTATTTTTACGTATCCGTTCAATTCTATGTATAATTTCTTTAATGGCAAATGCAGAATATACAAAATAGAGATACTCAATTGTATGGGAATGCGCGATACATTGTACTTCTATCGAGGAAAAATCATATGCAGAAGAAAAAGAGAGGTAGGTAAGTGTAACTTGTTACGAGATTAATAAAATGCGTTCTCACCTTCCTCACAACTGGTCTAATTGTTGCACCCTATACACAAAAATTAATTTAGAAACGTAGAAAAATGATTGAACGCTACCCGTTGATGGTCTGTGAACGCTACCAAAGAAAAAGTTTAGTTTATTCTTGTTAACCTCACTTACTTTAAACAAAAATAGTGAATTAAATTAAATTATTATTAATGTGTACGTTATAACTTCGAAGTTCTGTTTAACATGTCTCGGTGCATATGGTATTTTTACCACACCATCTTCGGAATGTTAACTTTATTCTTGTAGTATGATGTCCGACTTCTTCTACCCCAATATGGGCGGTGTCGAAGAGCACATATTCAATTTATCGCAGTGCTTAATTGCGAATGGCAATAAAGTTATTGTGGTGACCCACAGTTATGGAAATCGTGTCGGTGTTAGGTATATGACGAACGGTTTGAAAGTTTATTACCTATCCATTAAAGTTTTGTATAACCAATGCGTTCTGCCGACCATTATGTGCAATATTCCGCTAATACGGTATATATTTATTCGGGAGAGTGTGGACATTGTCCACTGTCACTCTGCTTTCTCTGCTTTGGCTCATGAAGGGCTTATAATTGGCAATATGATGGGTTTAAAGGTAAATCGCTCATGTCTCTTGGGCTGCTTTAAAGTTTACTTGCAGACTGTCTTTACCGATCATAGCTTATTTGGTTTTGCTGATGCTAGTGCCGTGATTACAAATAAGCTGCTGGAAATCTCACTGTCGGGGTGTAACCATTGCATTTGTGTATCGTATACGGGAAAAGAAAATACTGTTCTGAGAGCGAGAGTCAATAAAGAGCGGGTATCTGTGATTCCAAACTCGGTGGACACATACATGTTTAGCCCAATACCTGAATTACGTTCCACGGACTGTAGTAAGATGCTTTAGCGTTGCATACACTTACGTCAGTTTTGTTTTTCAGTAACGGTTGTGATCGTATCAAGATTAGTTTATAGGAAGGGAGTGGACTTAATGGCACAGGTTATTTCAGAAATATGTGATAATTATTCAGATGTTAACTTCTTAATTGGAGGCGATGGGCCTAAAAGATGGTTGGTATATTGTCTTTAAAAAAAACAAACTCTACCCAAATGTGATGCAGGTTGTTAGAAGAAATTCGAGAAAGGAAAGGTTTACAGCATAGAATTACTTTGTTAGGTACATTGGAGCATTCTCAAGTGAAGTATGTTTTAAATCAGGGACAAATTTTTCTAAACACTTCGTTAACAGAGGCTTATTGTATGGCCATTGTTGAGGCTGCATCATGTGGGTAGGTATATTTGTATCCCAATTAGAACAGAAAAGGGGATATTAGATTTTAATGACCAAAATCAATCAATTCTTATGAATATGACCTAATTCCTTTACTACATTGGTCTGCAATTCGATGTGTGGGGCGATTTTTGGCACTTCTACAACGGCAACATCACCTCCTCCCCACAAGCAAACACTACCTAGAGCATGTGTCACCACATAAACACAGTTAATACCTATACATAATATGTCAGTTCATTGATACAACCTTCCACATTTAACTGTGTAATTGAATAGTACAAAAGTGAGCAGTTTTCATTGCTCCATTTAACATCAAAGAATAGTTTATTATTATTTGGCAATAAAAGGTAATTATTTAATTACATTTTAAAGAATGCCTTTCTCTAATGAGACCAGAGATTGTTGCCATAGTGAAGAAAAATGTAGACTTTACACAAATTTAAATGGTGAAACTTTTAGTCCCTTTCCTCATATGGAAACATCGCTATTGCGGTCTCTTGTGTGCCCATTTATCCGTTCGTCTGTTCCTACTTTTTACTGCGGAGTGCTATTCATCAGAAATTTTGCTAAAGAATCCCTTAATTGCTCCTGTATGACTAAATATCCTCCCCCTGATATAAAGGTAATTTTTGCGTCAATGATCAATGATAAAAAATGATCTAGATGGTTATTGATTAGGTATTATAATTATGTTATTTAGATTATACGTTGGAATATTTATTTATCGATCACACACAGTGCCCCCCCCCCCTTCCCCGATTGTTTGGTGTCGTCCTCTGTTGTAAAAGACAAGAAATTATTGAATTTACTCTTGAGCTTCTGAGGATCAGCAGTACTTGATTGGAAACTAATTTGTGAGATCATTTTAGTTTTGAAAAATCAAGGATGCCTTTGAAATTTTCAAAAAACGTTTTTTGCATTCAGTAAAATGAAAAACTGAGTAAACTTGCAAAATTTTAAAGCCCTAAACCAACTTTGATTTTTTAACGTTTTGCAATGTAATGACCATGTAGCAAATTTGACGTCAATAAGAACACTTTGATATTTTATTTAAAATATTTAATGTACAAAGATAGCGCTGGGCGATTACATAATAATTTTAATAATCGCTAATTAATTATAAAAATAATCGATTATACTGATTAATCGATTAATCAAATAATCGATTAATTTAAAAGAATAATCAAATCCGATTATCGATTAATTAATTTTTTTTACCAACGCTAGCCATCACAATTCACATTCACAATAACATAAGAGGCGCAATGACATTACGAAATCACTATTTTTTGCATACACGCCTCCAATTAGGTTAATTACACCGGGCGCTGGATGGACCTAAGTATACAAAATTCAAGGACCGCATTTGACCAATTGATCCAAGTTCAGAAAAGCTTGTAGATTAATAATTCGGATGTTGCAGGACAAGGTTTGTATAAAAGATAATTTCCAAAAATTGTACGGAAAGACAAAAAAACAATTTTTCCCTTTTCCGCCATTTTAAATCGCAATAAAACTAATAGATGGCGCCAATGCGTGATCTACTACCGCCCTAGAAGAATTCAAACCGTTGACTACGGGCGAGAGGCGAAAAAATAGACGGACAAACGTATCTATTACGTATGCCCGCGAAGATTTCTGATGTTCCGAAGTTCCAACGGGAACGGGAATTGGAGAAAACAGGATTTTATGTTTTCCAGTCGAAAAGAGACTTAACATTTAGAACGTAGATTTCTTTGAAGGGGTTAAGGTTTATTCCAAAAGAGACTTCTCGAAGTTCCCACGGGAACGGGGTACGGGAAAAATGGGATTTCCCAAAGGCGGTACGAAGTTCGCCTAGACTGCTAGTTAAATATAAAAATAACAATGAATGACAGACGATTATCGCGGTTCCGAGGTGTAGACTGTCATTTTTTAAATTGAAAAAAATTATGAAATTTCAAAAATATTTTCTTTTTTCCGGTTCTAACATCCTAACAGACAGCAAAACCTTACCTATTGCCCCAGAATGTGTTTATGTAGGCGCATCTCCTTTTTCATTGCACAGGGTGTTATAATTTCGGTACGCGTCAACTCGCCAAGGGCGACTCGCCACCGACTGACTCGTCAACGGGACAACTCGCCAACGCGACAACTCGCCAACGGGACAACTCGCCAACGCGACAACTCGCCAACGAAACAACTCGCCACCGCGACAACTCGCCAACGGACGACTCGCCACTGCGCCAACTCGCCAACGAAATGTTTTTCCCTGTTTAATGTGTCGTTCAAATAACGATGTGATTGTCAAATTTTCTGTTCAAAAAATAATAAGCAGAAGATGTCGTTATATCAAAAATGCAGTAATAGAAACAGGTATAGGCGGTTGGATCTTCATTCAAATATTGACTACAATTTTTCGATAAACTTTTTTTACAAAATTAGGGAAATTGACTATTGCATTTGTGGGATGCATTTGTATGACACATTAAACAGGGAAAAATATTTCGTTGGCGAGTTGTCGCAGTGGCGAGTCGTCCGTTGGCGAGTTGTCGCGGTGGCGAGTTGTCCCGTTGGCGAGTTGTCCCGTTGGCGAGTTGTCCCATTGGCTAGTCGGTCGGTGGCGAGTCGCCCTTGGCGAGATGACCGTGTCCCTATAATTTTACTGTACACTTCATAATTTAAACCTTTGATTTATAAACATATGCAAACACAAGATACAATTTCATATGTGAACTGTCAAAACCAATAAAAACAAGAGATTATATATTATGAAACCAATGGCCCACTGGAATAGGATCACCTCAATATCTTTTATTTGGTGAGATACGAAAAAGTTGTTAAATATAATTGTATTGTGACATTACAATCTATGTGATCGCAGATTAAAACTTCCGGTATCACTTTCGGTTTAAAATCGATACAACTTTTGTTTTTCTAAGGCAATGCGTATGTTTTTTTAAGATATTTGAGGACAATCAATTTTCTGTACAACATGAAATTATTATGCATATGGTAAAAAAAAGAAAATTTATTGAAATTTAGCATGCCGAGTAACTCTAGGGCCCCCCGCACCGAGCATAGCGAGAACTCATCTCGTGAGTGCTATAATAGGAGACTTACTGGGCAAAATTGCTGATTTTATAATTTAATTTACATACACCATACTACATACGGCACTGTCAGTGGCGTAAATAAGGACTTGGCGGCCTTGGCAGCGCCAAGGGGCGCAGGGCAGGAAAGGGGCGCGGCGTAGTTTTCCTTTTCTCATTATTTTTATTGTCGCCTCCCCTCCCTCACGCGTCGCACTGAATACTTTTCCTGAACTAATTTATCAAAATTCAAAATACTGTTTTATTTTTATTCGTTTTCCCCTGGACCAAATAAATTTTTCTGATTCGACGGTTGCGATCGTGAGAAAAAACGCTTCATCTTTGCTAATATAACCAACTTGGTAGCTGCAATAATAACAAAGTTAGCAATGGTGCCGACTTCGCCGTGAACACTATATATTTTCACTTCTCTAAAAATTTGTAGCAATAGAAAATCTCTTTGCCAATTATTGTGGAGGGGGGGGGGCGTAAAACTTACGTTTGCCAAGGTACGTAGCCCACCTTAGTTACGCCACTGGGCACTGTCCTCATGTAGGTTTTGGTTCAGCGCCATTACCCATTGTGACATCCACTCTTGAATTTTTCCAAAACTCCTCAGATGCAAGTATAAAACTTTGCTAGAGATTAGAAGTAGATCACAACTGATGTCCTCCTTCATTAGCCCGTTGCATTCCATACATGCGTTTCTCAACCAGACTGCAACATACGTCCACTACCTGTATTTCAGTTCATAAATTACCCTCATCCCACGCGGGGGGTTTTATGTATAGCTAAGGACTAAGGGCCAGTTGTATGTCAGGTTGAATGTTTATGATTCGACAAAATTGGACCAATAACTTCTATTCAACCTGACAAAACTGGTCCCAATGCTATGCTTGCTTAATAAAATCAAATTTCCTGACAAACATTACCAAATCAATGCTAGTGAAATACTTTCAGAGTACACATACATACTTTGAATAAACAATGATTACCAAACTGTGTGAAAATATAGTACACAAATTTGTATTTATTAGTTTACACTTATTTATGGTCTCTTTCAATTATAGTTTACTAGTGGTGTCGACAAAGGTAGGCGGGATACCTGAAGTGTTACCTGAAAACTTAATTTATTTAACAGAACCGAACGTACCTGAGCTGACTAGGGGTAATTTCCACAAGAAAAAAAAACAGTTTAAAAAAAATTAACGTTTATTTTACAGGTTTAGAAACTGCAATACAAGACTACAGAGATGGTAAAAATATTTGCCCTTACAAACTGAATAATACGATACGCCACTTGTATAATTGGGAGAATGTTACGGCGAGAACTGAAATAGTTTACGACCATATTTCCGTTGAGAAAATGCGCACATTAAAAGAAAAATTTTCAAGGTAACTTCTTTAGTGGTAAGTAGTAATGAAAAATTGTCTGTTTACAGTTACTTGTCTAGCGGTGTGTGGCCTTTTCTTGTAATGGTGGCATTTTGTCATCTTTTCCTGATATTTTTAGATATATTCATACCTCAAAGGAATATTGACATTTGTAAACCATTTCCTTACAAAAACTTTGAAAACTGTAGGAAAGGTCGAAGGGAAATTACATAGGTAAATAGTCATTATGTTAATGTATTTGTACTCAACAAAATAGTATTGCATTTGCCTTAATAAATATTTAAATAAATTAATATTAAGCTCTAGATAAGCAAAATAAATATTTTTTCATTACATTATTTAGATTCATTGTACTTTTTCGATATACAAGTTCTCTTAAAATAGTATCTTAGGTACATAGGACTACCTATAACAAGAGTAAACGGAGTATCTATCATTAGTTAAAAAACAATGCGACGTATAAAGCACCTAACATTAACTTGTAGAAAAACCACAATAAATAGAATATATAATACATTCTACTTATAAAATCTTTTAGGCCAATTTTCATATAATAAGTACGTGAGGAATGTACACTTATCAATCACATTATTTGGAATTTTATTCCAATCCGGTTATTGGAAGAGAATTTATTTATTGTGGCATTTTGGTCCACTGCGTTTGATTTAGGAGTATTCTAATATTTATATTACCAATATGCTTCCTGTCGATCCTACCGCCTATTGTTTACACAATAGTTCTAACATTTTAAACGCTAAAAAACAAGCGAAAAAACAAAAAATTATTTGATTAAGTGTAGCCGAATGCTAGGTTTGATCATCCGGTTCAACTTCAGATGGGCGAGGGCTGCAGTTCCACGACAACCTTTTTTGGATGCTTGGATCCTTATTGTCGTGGTGCTGAAAAAAAAAGGTAAAGTTGTAAATAGTGGATCATTAAAAATTGTGGGTAACATTTTAAAAATTAGTAGAACAATTTTCATTAATGGTAATTATGCCATAGCGTGACGTGGACTACTAATTTTTTCTTATAAATGGAAACTGCGTAAAATGATTTTTTCGCAACAAAAACCAGCACACAAAACTGTCGTAAAAGGAAAAATTTGTTGTAGCTAGCACAGATATCACATGCGCAGGCGCGATCTGTTCAAAAGCTTTTTAGTCCTTTCTCTTTTACAACCTTATACAAATTGTAAATTTGGTTCCAATCGGTTCAATTGTTTTAAGTTTGAATTTAATATTTTCGTGCTCCCCACCCCACATACCAAATTTACTCATAATCGGCATTTTTTCATCTTGAATTAAGAATCTTTTACAGAATAGGTTAACCAAAAATCTAGATAAAGCATTATTTCCAAAATTCTACGTAATACAGTTGCTGAGAAAAGAAATAGGGAAGAACCGATGAGAGCGTAGCATAAAGACTGTGTCCAAGATAAGAATGTCGATCATGAGGATCTCCGAAGCCACAGAAGGTACACCGATGGTCAAAGTAGAGAAAAGATGGGCAATTAAAGAGTTATTATGATTGATGTATTGCTCCGTGGTAAGTTTTTAACTTTAAATAATGTAAAAGAGTTTGTTGACAAAACTTAATATTTATTTTCTTTAGGCGATCAATTTGACTTGAAAATCATCTTCAGGCCTTAGTCTCTATTGACTGACACACAGACATATTCATATTCCAATGGTTCGCCGCAACCCATGGTCACAACTACATCGTACACTATCATTAGGTTAATGTTTTCATTCAATAGACGCTAATAATTTGGTAGGTTTTAATTGTTTTTGTAATTTAAGACGTAAAAGTTAAGAAACATGTGGCACATGTGCAAAAGTGTAGATTAGGAGGTGACGCAAATAAGTGCTCGCATTTCGTAGGTCGTTACAGAATGTGAAAAAATGATGATGGAGGTGGTCTACACTCTAAAAGGATGGGCGCCGATCTAACAAAGCGGTCCCGGTTCAATTAACTTAGCGTACGTAACAGTCCGTTGCGTTTAAATTTCAAATACTTTTTTTCCGGTAGTTAGCCGGTTTTCGAAGTCTTTAGTTCTACAGTTACATTGAGAAGAAATGATACAGGAATAGTTTCTAATTACTGTCCAACTCTTGTGTCATTAAAAAAAAATAGTTCTGGGAAAAGTGTTTTTTTTTCGTGTTTGCGTAAAGGCGGAATAGGACAAAAATTTGGATAATCCCATGTTTTATGGGCAGAGCTAGTTATAGATAAATGTTAATTGATTGGTGTAATAATGAACTCATGCCATTGCACACAGCTTTGGCGCCCAACGTGGAGCATAGCATTTATTTCAAATGAAGGGACACAGAAGTACACTACCACATTAAAGATGACAAGACTCAAGACGAGGAATGACGAAAGTGTCACGACAAGAATACTTCATAATGACGTGTTTCAACAGCAAATTGGAACCTGAATCCAGTAGGAAAAGGTGGAAAATGAATTTTTCTGTTCAGTGCAAGTAAAAATATCAAAAACAAATGAAAGATCTTACCTTGATATCATCAACAACACCTGCAGTATGATACCTTTTATTATCATTTCTAACTCGTTTTAACATGGCTTGCCGATGCTGACTCCGACTAAAATTTTCACAAGAATCGTCAGTGGATGTGCCTGTAAGAAAAACAAGTGATAATTCTTAGAACCTCTCATTTAATTAACTTAAAGCGATCGACCGTAAATCTAGAATTAAGGCCTAATATTGCAACTCCGCAATTTTTTTATTGCAGAGCCTTTACAAAAGTATCAGTAAGGCTTTTGTAAACAATCTGCTCATAGGCCTCAATAAAAATAAAATTCATCTACATAGCTCAAACATACGCTAGTGCTGGAAGCTAAAGGTATGCTCTAAGTGATTCCGAAAAAGAATTTTTGACTTTCTTCAAAATTCACAATTATGCAGCAATAAAATAGTGCATTAGCAAAATAAAAGAGTAGTATCCCAATATAGACGTTACTACTTGTTTATTGTGCAAAATTTAGAGCAATACAGCTTTGCCTTTGTTTTGTTAAACAAAAAACCACAATCTGAATAAACGAGAAGTAGCGTTTAGGAAAAAAATAGAAGCGTTCCTAAAGGTTACAGAGAAATTTAAGTGAGTAAGTTAAAAAAGTGAACTACAATAAATGGGGGTGATTTAACACAGTTTGAAATGAACGTTCATGAATGATAGTGATAAAAAGACTCACAAAACAGTGAATTTACGTCGCATCACAATGTTCTTCTTCTAGTTTGTTAAAATGAAAAAACATCGATGAGCAATTTCTATTAATATGTGAATGGTTACTTTACCTGCGATAACAGGTACATCGAAGCTTGCTGGCGCCTGACTCGTAGTCGTCATACCAACAGTTGAAGTTACGTGTCGCGTTTTCAGTAACGGAGGATTTTTGCTTTGCGAAATAGCAAGTCCTCGTTTAAGATTTCCTCGCGTTGGCGACGGCGGCGGATACGACACCCCTCGATGCGTCGGACTCAATAAATGGGCACAATTTTTAGAACTCGGAACGGATAACGTATTCTGACTTAAATTTAAGCTTAGAGTTCCGACATTAGGTGAGCCCAATGTTAAGTTAGGTAAACTTTGCCCTAAACTTCCATAAGGTTGTACTGATAATGTGTTGGGCGTTTTGTTGAATAGGCGATGCTTAAATGATAATTTCTGCGATACTGGACTTTTATCAGGTGGCAATGGCTGAACACCTTCATCACTTGATATGGATGCAGTACGATTTTCATTCTCCACAGAAACGGCTCTAGACTGATTCGCTGAACCAACAGACGATTGATCGTTCATTTCAACGGATCCGCTGAAAGCTTTACGTTAACATTGTTTACCCTCAACACCCGTCTACCTGTGGCTGTGCGCTAAACTTGATACTCTGCTTGCGCGCGATGAGGATGCCAATGGTGAACGTGGAATCAATTGTAAACTATGATAATCGCCCTCCAAACTGTAATCTGCGCTGAAATCAGTTTCTAGACTTTCATCTGCCATGTAATTCATCTGCTTAGCCTGAAGATATAAATATTGAGCCTTGGCAATACCATCCTTCCAGCTCTAGAAATGGTGTTAGCTACAAACGAACTTCTCTACAAGAACATTACCTTAAGTTTTCTGGCATCGTTATTTTGCAATATAAATGCAGCGACTGGTAAATCGAATTCATTCTTATATATAGCGGCCAGACTTGGCGTTTCTCTCGTTAATTCGGTAATTACTAGCCGATCAATTAGATATGGCTGTCTTATAATTCGCATTGTGGCACCACCTTTCTTAGTGGACGGCTTACATACTAATAACATGTCGGTTAATAGGAAACAATGAACCTCCATCTATAAACAAAATTCACTATTAAGGTTAGGACAAGGTAATTACAAGTATTTTGGATTTGCTTTGTATAAATACAAAATAAGGTTCGCCTATACATTAGTAAATATTTGTCAGGCCGAGCATTTAATTAGCTATGTGCTTTAGTAGGGGCGATTCGTCTCGGCATAAGTTCGCCCTCTGAAATATTTACCACGAAATTTTCAACGTTCATCCCCAGCATGTTTACCTATACCTACTGGGTGACCCAAAATAACTAGATAGTTTAAATTTGGCGCGTAAAGCTTTTATGGCCGTTTGCACCGACAAATTTAAGTGGAGCTTAGCTTAAGCGTAGCTTAAAATCCATGGCAACAATTATTGAGACAATGGTTGCCATGGATTTTAAGCTAAGCGCCGCTTAAATTTGTCGGTGCAAACGGCCATTAGTGTTTTTTACTTAAGGTATTGGCAAACATGTTTAGAAGGTGGTTTATTATTATTTCATAGATATATTAATTTTTAATTAATTTTTATGTGAGTTTTTATTTTATTATCTGTTCTCTGGTGTTAACAAGGATATTTATGATCCCATCTGTTAAAGCATTTGATTGGTTGCAGAGTGGGTGTGTTTATACCCCAATTGTATAGTGTCATAGGTATATTAGCCATTAGTACACCAGGATTAGAATTAAACTGAACCAAATAGATTTGTGCCAACGGCCTATATTGTTTCTGCTCCCTCTAGAAGTAAGTATAATAAGTAGGTAGGTACATACCTTGGACGTCGCGCTGTCTTTTAATTTAAGATCACCTTCCAATAGTAGGTGACGCTTTCTTTCCACCGGACATCCTACCATTGGCTTGTTTAAATCTAATTGACTGTATGCTTTCAATAATTTTTCCAGGTCATCGTCTTTAGACTCCTAAAACATTATGTTACGCGCAATCAACACCACAAAGGTCCGCTGATACCAACCACTGCATCGTAACTCTCAATTCTTGCCATAATTCCCTTTAGACGTTCATTGTCCTGCTTTTGCTTAAGACTAAAATTTACACTATTTACAAAATCGTCTACGGACTTAATCTGAAAGGAGAACGTTAATTTATTTCACAATGTCTAGGTATTGATAATTAGATTAGGTAATACAAATATGCGACGATTGTTATAAACTGAACCTCTATAGCCTTGAGAACGTACAGCGGGCAAGCTTCTGTAAGTTCTGAACACAAGCCAAGAAGAAAATGAGACCTGCGGACCACCGCGAGGCAAGTATTGCCGAACAAGCCTGATATTTGGCAAACAGAAACAACTAGAAAGTACCCAACAAGAAGAGAACGTGTGTCCACTAATTGCAGGATGCATCTGCATCATGTATTTTGAAAAGAAGTTATGATCTTCAGAAGTATTTTAATGAAAAAATTGACGAAGAAATAAGGAGAAGAGAAATAGGAACAAACGGAAGGGAACAGAAGAAATTAAGTAAATTAGTTCAACAAGTACAACAAATTAATGAGGATGAAAATTAAGACTACGACAGTGGACCAGCAGACAATGAAGAGACAGAAATAATGGAGTGCCACTCAATCAGTCTAGGAAAGTTAGGCTGGCAGAAGAGCATTGCAAAAATGACGAATATGGTAGGAGAATTATAGGAAAATTTAGCTGAATCACATGAAGATCTTAAGACACAAGAATCAAATTTCAGAGGACTGTAGAACGACGCAGAAAGAATTTTAGAAAAACGGTATTCATTCGATTCAAAGTTCGAGTTCAAAGGGAATCATTTTTTTTTAGATAGAAAGGTTTAGATTCTTGATTAGGTTAGTTTAGGGAACACGCTCTCATTTATTTGCCTTCAAAATAATCAAAGTAATTAGTTTAAAAACAAGGAGGGGATACTGTAACGGGAGCCTGGTAATGGGGCTTGGTTAATTTATTTAAATTTTTTGGGCGAAGGGTTTCCGATTACGATCCGGCTGTATACTTGCGTATAAAAATTAGAAGCGTCAGACTTTCGCGCCATAAGATTAATTAGAAGTACATGGCAGTCCTGCTGAATCATATCCGCTCGTTGTTTTTTTTTGTGGAATATGTGGGAATTCTCCGTCAATGCAGGTTCAAGGTATCTGGCATTTGGGGTTTCTGGAGATTTAATTGGTTAAAAGAAATGAATACTCTTGGAAATGAGCGATGGGGGCAATTTCGAAAAAATAAAGGTAATAGGAGTTGGAAGTCCGGGGTTGAGCTGTAGAGAGGTTAGGCACGAGGTCACGGTAGCACTTGTTCGTGTTTAAAGTTTGGCACTAAAAAAATACGCGTGAAACCGTAGAAAAAATTGGCACCAAGACACGATCGCTTTCACACCGAGTGGCGAGTGCGCGTAGTGTGTAATTGGTTGGTGGCGGAAAATTAAATTCGGAACCGCAATAGCACACGCGTCGAAGTGCAAGACAAAAATTCAGTTAAGCCGTGGAACATATTTCCAGTTCACGGTCGTCCATAAATGCTCAGGGTATCAAAATTGACTCAAATTCAAAAAATTTTTCGTCTCCCGACGGATTATGTAATTTTTGGCAATCAAGTAAAATTTCATAAAGGCCAAACGAATTGTCCGTTGAATATAGGTAGTAGGTAATAAAAACATCTGGTGTATGTTTTATGTGGGGATCCATCTAGAAGGGATTAAAATTATTCAGTTGAATTTTAACCTTAAATAATGAATACCTTATAGCTGGGTTCAAAATATTCTTTTTTTAAAATTACGTTTGTGTTTAAATAGTTAAAAGAGGGTTAAATTAGATAAAGGAGTGGCCACTTAGGTAGGATACGTAGGATTTTAGTACCGAATTTTGAGTAAAAAAATTGAAATTAGGAGAAATGTAAACGAAAGTGGGGATTATTTTTCGTAAAATATTCGAAATATTTTATAAAAAGTCACATTCGTGTAGATATACGGTGGTACCGTCAATGAATCAAAGCAGTTTGAATACAGCACATTTCAAAGAGGCGGAGAATACATACCATTAAGTTTAAATTATCCCTTTCCACGTCATCATCTGTATTTTTCAATATAGCTTTCAAAAGTAAACCATACTTAGTCAGTCTTTGCATCGGTTGTACTAATATATCCATTAACCTTAACCTGACGAGGGAGGGGTAAATTTGATGGTTGTAGATGAAGCACCTACACTTACCTATTGCATTCTTTCTGCGTTTCACACCATACTAAATAAGCCGTAAATAATTCGTTGTGTGTATGGTTTTCCCTACAGTAATGCTGACAGCGTGCCTGTTCGGCACAGTACCTAAAATACGCTTGGAAAGTGTCGCTTATCTTAAGAAAACCCTGCAACATATTTTCAATACACGGCGGTTGCTTATACTTTCGCATATCTCGAACTAATGGGAAAATGCAGTTTCTCCAAAATAATACATTCGCGTCGAGGATTTCGGTAATATTCGAAAATAATTTCTCGGTATCGATTTCTTTCAGTAAATTGGCAGATTGTAAATTTTTCAGACAAGCCAAAAATAACTACAATGGATGTCAACGTTAAGCTTTACAAAATTTAATTGTAATACTTACATCTGTTACAACCTTTAAGGTTTTTATGTAGGCGACTTCCGTTTTAATTAATTCCCATAAAGCTGTTTGCTGCTGCTGCAACTTTTCGTTTAGATCTGCAAACAAAGTGAAGTGTTACATAAATCTGGCATAATAAAATTTTATTGTATCATATTTTTTTGGGTTATATTCAAAGACCCCGTTCTTGTGATGATGCATGTGTATTTAAGCACCTAACCACCTTTAGACTGTCATTTCGCATGCAAATCATATTATTTAGTTACAACAGGGAACAACATAATTAGTGGCGTGTCTGAGATACAAAGTAGTGGTGGTATGTAACAAGTATTACATCTAAAGAGAAATTATCCACCTTTAAATAGATAGGACACTGGATTTAAAATATCCTATAAGCCTTTGTAACATTTTTTTATAGAAAGGAGACCAACTACGAACCTAAATTATGAGTTTTTCGATGGCTCATTTTTGAACGGGTAGTTTTACTTCCACATCAGTTCAGTTCAGTAATTAAACGGTGCGTCAGCGTAAAAATTGAGAAAATGTCCAAAACAATTCCGATAAAAATAACGGCAGATCCATAGCCAGCGCAAAAGTTGCACGCCCCTTGAAAACCAATTACAACGCGATATAATATGGTGAATATTGAGCATTATGTGTGCTCTTGGTTAATAAAAATGAAAATTCCTTATCTAACTAAGTTCGGTTTTTATTAGCTTCCCTAATAAGGGAGTTTTTTTTACCCCGCCCTATACTTTCTTCAATGTAATTACTCTCACATTAATTTAAAATAATCAGAGGCCAAGTAGATGCGCCAAACATGTTATAAAATTCAAAATTCAAAGCCTCTTCTCCGGAAACCCACTTACTTAGTAACACTTAATTTCTTTTCTTTCACCACGACGTATTAATCAAAAATCTTTAATTAACAAACTTGCATTTACTAACCGGAAACTGACTACTTGAAAATACAACTTCAAGTAATTAAGTAACACGTCCACACTTGACTTTCCGTACATCCGAAAACTCCAATATGCAGCGGACACATTCTCACAAACGGCCAAAGGCGAAAGGCCCTGTTAAAACATTCCCTCTTGTATGTTATGGCGTTATGCTATTATCCCTCTCTTTTTCATGTCCGTTTCCACCTCGGTTTCCACTTATTTATTATTATGTTAAAAATCCGCATAATTCTTATCTAAAGCGCAACACCTACGAACATCTGTTTACATATTAAATAACGACCGACAATAAATTCTTACAAACACCTATAGTCTGGCTAAATTTAAGGAAATGGTATAATTTGGAGGTACCAATTTTCCTTTTTACCACGGTAAGACACATATATTAGGATGTAAAAAAAACCATAATTGCCATCTCAAAGTGGTAGCTATCTGTTAGAACGATTGGTCCGATTTCATCATTTTCTTAAATGAAAGTTTTTGTGTGTGCTACAATATTGTTATAACCACATTTCCAATAAAATCAACAATTATGTAGTAACTAATGCATGAAGTAAACGGACGGAATTTTTTTAACTCTTAACATTTAATGAAAACTAAATCAACCCCTTCGATACTTTCAAAAGTTTCATATACACTAAAATCTGTTACTTCTTCTTTTTCTTCAGTGACGTTTCCATAAGTTGGCAGTTTGCATGCGCTTGTACACTTTAAGTTATTAGCATTACATAATGGTAGTTGTCAAGAACCAGCTTGGTAATTCTATATGAGGTGATATGGAAGCCAAACTTAGGGTTATCTTTCATCTTCTTTGCTGCTTCCGGAATAGCATCTCTTTGATTTTGACGTACAATTTTCCAATGTATTTTTTGTTTTCACATAATCTATGTCAAATTATCTGGCACAATATACACTTTTCCATCAATATTAACAAACTCTTTGCTGACGTTATGGCTTAAAGCCGTATTTGATCGTATTTATTGAGAGGCAGTCAGTCTTGTCATTTGTAAAGTTTTTGTTTAAAGTGGAAACGCGTTTCACGATTTACAAAGAAGTTAGTGGAAGTGCTGTGTTTATCGAGCAGGCGTCGCTTAATAAGACTTTATTTAAGGTTTTCCCAGTACTCGTTAAAGGGAGTTTTTTCACCATTAAAGAGCCAATTTTACATCTGTAATTACAACGAATCCTGTGTCGTCCAAATTGAGATACAAGTTCAATTAAAGTAGAGAAGTTATAGGAACATAATCCGCACATACCAATTTCATCCGCATTTGGTATTTGATCATGCCTCTTCAGCTACAATTATATATTTCTAGACGTAACTGCAATGATTTTTGTATTTAGTAAGACGGTGAAAATTCTTGTAATGCAACGTTGTATAACACTGCCTAAGATTGCCTGTATTTTGGAGAGTGCAATTTCACTAAAAGGTGAAATCTCTCCACATATGATACGCATATTTTTGCATATTTTCACCATCTTCTTGATGTTTGGAAGCACTTATTTTATTTTAATTTTAATTCAATTTGTTGATCAGCTAAAGCTGTGAATACTTATATGCAAAATGAATATCGTTTATTTTTGGTTGTACTTCTTATGAGATTTTGTGTATTTTCGATTTGCAACATTTGCGATAAAACCGAATTTATTTTTGCATATTTTAAGATGTATTTAAATTTTTGTTAGATTTAATCGATTTTAATTTGAATTTTTAATACATTTTTGCGGATTTTTATAACGGACGCGATCATGAAACATACTGCAATAGCTGGAAGGAAGATTTCTTGATTTCATTGATGTTTAATTTCACCATTTCCAAACTATATATTCTATCTTTCTCTTTCTCTACGGTGTTAATGGATGATATTGTGGAAGGTTTGGAAATTGCTCCCAATAGTTTGTCGTTTTCTAATGCACATATTACTTTTGTTGATGTAGAGAGAAGTTTCTCTGCTTAGTGCTTATAAATTAATTCTTAGCGACAGGAGGCAATCATTTCGTGCAGAAAACTTAGAGAAACATTTATCGTAATTCCTTTATTTATTAAAAATTATGCAACATGTATAGTTTTGTATGTGTGCATATATATCAAAACTGTTTGCATATTTTTCACTAATATTCTGCATATATATGCGCATAATTTTACCATTTATTGCGTATTAATACAGGCAGTAAAGAAAATTCGGAAAAAAATTTAAAAAAAAACATTTTTTAAATTACTTATTACCAGTTGATTTTATCGAAAAAGTACTTATAACAATATTTATAGCACATATAAAGAGCTTTCATTTAAAAAAAATAATGAAATTGGATCAATAATTCCAGAGATATAGTTGATTTTATAAAACTTAACATCCGCCATCTTTGATTGACCGCCATTTCTATTAGCTACCGCTTTGAGATGGTTCTTTGGCATCCTAATAAACCTGTATAATCACTGTAAAAAGGAAAATTGGTACCCCCAAACTATACCGTCATGTCGACTGGCCCATGGCCAAAATAAAATTCTAACAAATGCTCCTTATCTTTCCGTAACAATGTTTTAGGATAATTTACTATTACTCCACTGGTATGTGGTATTGTAAAAGTATATTTTGGCTTTTTCTTTAAATAATCGAAAAAGTAAATGGTAAACCAAAATGTTAATGTGTTTGACTATAATTTAGCAACTTTTCGCGAGATACGTAGACCAGGAATATTTCGCCACCTCTGCTGTACAATTAGCATTTAACAACTAGAATTGAATTAACTAGCTGCTTTGAACAGGAATGGTCCCTGTCACAAACTTTGCGACGCCATTTGGGAGAGAGTTCTTCTCTTTTTGACACCATCCGAAATTACAGGCAACATTTCTAATGACGTATATAGTGAATGTTGGGGATTTGCCGACAAAATTTATTGATAGAAGAGCGAACTTGTTAGACAAGCCAAATTTCATTATAAGTTAAACCTTGCCAATCAATTTTAATTATGTTTACTTATTTGTCGGCTATAATTTAAGGGCCTTTGATGGAAGAGACAAGAGCTTCTAAGTAGTATTAGAAAAGCTGTGGTTATGCAATGATTCCATTAATTTAATTAACTTTCAGCGAGAGACTATTAAAGCTCTTTTATTTCTTTCAACGCATTTTGCTCCAATAACCAACTTTTACGAGATAATGGTTAGAGAGTATAGCCAGTTACAAACAACTACCTACTGGAGTACTTAGATACTATTTATGACCGGAAAATATTTTTTTTTCTTGGAATGTACCGCATCGTCCATCTGAGAAGGTATGTCGACCTCTCTGGAATGGGTTATATTAAATGATAACAACGTTCCAATTTGATTGAAAATTGTTTTTATATTGACAATGATGACCAGTGTTAAACCTATTATGACCTAATTTTTCCAGACATTCGTAAATTTATTCCGAAGAACAAATGTACCTACATGCAATCGTAAATAATCATCCGAAGAGAAATAAATTCATTCCAAGTTAAGATTGATCCACACGCAAAGTTAAATTAGCAGAAACCGTTGCTTTTAAGCTTCCGTTAATGCAATCTGAATTTAATTGGTAATGTCTTTGAAACTCGCCCTCTCAAATCGAAATAAGGCCACGCATTTATAAATTTTACCTTCAGATAAAACTTTCTTATCTCAAACTTCAAATTTTAATACATTCGCGTTTTGATTTTACGCCAAGGGGTGGTTGGCAGACGGATATTCTACAATAAATCTCGCATCTCTTTCCTTGTCAAAGATGACTTAATTAAAGAGCTCCACTGACGCACCCCGTTAATATTTTATTGTGATTACTGATTGATAACACTTCAACCCCCTCTCTAATTGCAATGAACTCACCTGTATGATCGATCAGCATTCTCCAATCGCCTTCAAGTCTATACAAAGCGTCGATCGATTCACATTGACCTTGCGGATATATTTGGCAGTTCGGAATGCCATTTTTCGCGTAATTATTCAACTGCTCCGCCAGCAATTCCATTCGCGTGTCCTGCAACGCGGGTATTTGTTATCAGTTTTTGTGTCCCGTAACTGGCAAAACGTACCTTTGTATTCCCAAAGAAACCCGACCATCGTTGCTTCCCTTGTTTTTTACTGGCGTCGGTTTCCGGGGCCAGCGAAGTGTTAGGGTTAGTATTGCTCTCCTCCATACTGGAATTAAAGAAACTACTTGATCGCGATTTGTTGTTCTGAAAATAGAAAGTCTTAGTCTAGGAGGTCGTTTTGAGCAGCCTTACGGAATTAGACGGCTTTCTGGAGTGACCACCATAAACGGACGTTGACGATTTTCTGTTGCCTGACCCATCTTTTGCTAAATGTGGGACACTTTATAAGAGAAAGGAAGGATTTTTAATACGTACCAGTTATTCTAATGTGTTTGCCTACGAGACTGGCCGTGTCTTGTGTAAATGATACCCAAGTGTTTGTATTGCTACTTTTATCTTGCAGCCATGCGTCACAGGAGGATAGGTCGATGTTTCGAAGTTCGCATAGTTTCGATAAAGAGTCCCTGTGAAAAGTAAATCATAGTAAGTGGAAGTCAGCACTCTACTGTAAAAATCAAGGTTAAATAGTAACACAGTTTCAATATTGCAACAACAAAATGACAACAAATTGCCAATCCTATACTTCGACCACCCTATATACTTTCTACTATCAAACTTATAACCATCCCTAAATAATCTCCAAAATTGTAAATCCATTAAAATTCGACGAAATAATTCCCAATTAAAAGCTACCGTTACAGTACCCCCCTCTTGTTTTTAAAAGCGCAGAAAACCTAAAGAGATTTTGAAAACGGCAAATTAAAACAAACGGGAGTTTATCCTTAAACTGTCTCTTACTCATAAAAAATCAAAAATCTCAAACTAACTCCAAAAACCATAAGGCGACACAAAATGTATCACTTGTCTCCTTATTTTAAGATATTTCATTGGGCAGGAGTTTTTTTGTTGTTCGTTTTAGAGAGGTTATTTAAGGATTTGTTCTTTAAATGTTTTAATGAGCTTGTCAGTCGTACAGAAGGAGTAAAAAAGCTTTCGATTTCAAAGATAGGCCTATATGGAAGTTGCATAAACTTTCCAAAACACATTGCACTATAAAATTTTGAGTTAGTATTTTTCCAAATTTTGATTACACAAGAGAAATTAACTAAATTGTCTCCTATCCTTAACCCATTTTTACGTGAGCTAGCCTGAAGTGAAAGTACGAAAAGGTAGGTCTACAGACGTACTACAAAAAAGACGAATAAAACGTTGAGAATTTCACGAACAGAACAACGAAACTATTACAATTGTAACTACACCGTTAAAATGTGCAATATGATTAAACTGCTTACGTAGCACGTAGCGGGTGACCGCTAAAGCGTTTTAAGATTTTTATTTTTTTACGAAGGTAATTAGGGCACATGTGTGTAAGCGCGTTGTTATGAGATTTTGGTAGTTCAACCGATTTTTAAGTGAGTTTCCAAACTAATAGTGTAAAAAAGTTGAATTTGGTTAGGGTATCTAATTTTGAGGTGTTAGGTACTAGGAAGAGTATACAGGAGGACTGTTTATTCCAAAATTTTATTCTTTTCAAATTTTTCAGTTCAATGGAAAGTGAGCCGTTGACTACCGGATGCGTCGTGGCTAACTAATGCCTCAGGAAAAGTTATTAGCGCCAGTCTGACGGGCCGTAACACAATCTTTATGTCTTGTACGTGACCAAAACAGCTAAATCAGAATTACTCATTATGATCTTGAGATCTGGTGGGTTTTGATAGATGACATTTCTATGCACTTGATTAGGTTAAGAGTCTTCTTTACCCAAGCGCAATTTTTTTACATTATAGTATATAGATGATTATAGTTGCAAGATACAAGATGATATTTTTGCTTTGTCAACTCCTGTCTTGGTCCTTAGTTAGTTCCCGCTGACACTGAGCAGCGGCGCCACTTGTTACACTGAAATTGTTGATTTACCGCCCGCCAAGATACAGACTTTATTTACAAAAAATATGATTTCATTTTTTGGGGTAATGTTTAAGAAGTAACTTATCTAAAAAACTGTCGGTTTACTTTTTCCAAAAATCGCCTTGATCGCGAGTAAAAAAATGAAACAGATTAGCGCAATAATCGGTGCAAAACAGCTAATCTTTAAAAAATCGATATTCAGTTGCTATACACTTTTTAAAAAAAATAGTCCGAACATTTTGTAGATAAAGGTCTAAATTTATAAAATAGCTCTTAAAAAAATTTATTTTTTGATAAACAACTTGAGTTTTTATGGCGGGCGCTCTTATGGAAATTTACATTGGGTGCAGTGGGTACAGAAGACTCTTAAGGACGCGAAGTCGATTGGTTAACGATTAGATATGGCCACTATCAGTACCATTTTGTAGGCGTGTTAGATTGAACAAGAGTAGGGACGCGTCCAGGAGAAATAGCAGTAGGGCATTCGGTTTTGAACGCCCAGAGCGTCAAGTGCGTGGTCCTAAATAGTTTTTTTTCCGACTATAAGCGTGAAAGTGTTAGCGGAGGGGGGAGTACTGTGGCGACCATTAACGCAAATCGATAAATCCTAGAAAAACAAGATAGGTGGTTGTCTAGGTTATAAAAATTGAATAATTAATAATTGACATTCTGTTTATATTTCAAAAATAAAAAATAGTTCCTTTTCCTGTATTTTGTAATAAAACGCTACAGAGCCAGTAATTATAGTTAGCGCAAAAGCCGTTCGTCAGTCCAAAATCGACGGACTGTGAATAAACGAATTCGAAAAATCCGCGCAAATTATGTGTACGGAAGTGTTAACCACTTTAAAATAATTCTACGGAAAGAAAATCTCCGTGATAACGTGGGGAGGTAAATTAACCGGATTTTAGGTTTAGTCAGTAAATGTAAAGTCTTTCGGTTAAACCAGTGTTTCAATAAACAGTGTGCTTTTGATAAATTATATGGCGAAAGCATAGAGTTGGTTGAGGAGGTAATCGTATAAAAAAATCCAGCGGCAGTATTCTTTCCAAAGATCTAGGTTTCATTCCATATTGTTCAGCTTTAAGGTATCATCTTTTTGAGAAACCCACTACTGATTTGTACCATAGGGAAACCATTCCATTCTAGAAAACGCTACAATTGAGGTAAAGTAATCCTTTAAATTTCAATCGATCTTTTTAAATTGGTTGAATGAAGCAAAATTGTATCGTTTAATTTAATTTAATTGTGTTACCTATAAGGTGATTGTTTTTTCTATAACATTGCCATATTTATTCTTGTTATTGAGCGTTAAATACGGGGAAAGAAACGAGGTCACAACATAGGCTCGTAACCGTCAAACACCCAAGTCAGAAAAATGTAAGAGGAGGTGCAACCTGGATTGATTTTTTAGCTTGTCAATATACTCAATCATTTCACTTTAAAATTTGTATTTACTGCCTGCCGTCAATCAGCTCAAACGAGAGAGTGCCAAGTGTTTGATTTTCAGGATTAAGGCTTGGTTGTTTTTAAAAATTTAGTTTTGAATTTGTATATTAGTCAACATAGGGAAATTTTCACATGGACCGCTTTATAGCGAACGTGAACAAAGGTATGTCTGGCGATGACGAGAAACGTATTTCAGAAAGTTTCGTTCTGTTCTGTTTAAAGCCTAGCACGTGACGGAAATGCGAGTTTTCTATTGGTTGTTAGAGACGCCAGTCGAGGTCATTTGTGTTCAGAAATAAGTCCCTTTTCGATTTTCTTGTGGGCGAGATTAAAATAACGAAAAAAGTGGGAGGGCACGATATTCGAAGACTACTTCGCGAGCGATGACGTGCACTGTTTGTGCGTTTTCTATCGTTGAAAATTTATTTTTCTTGATCTTCGGAAACCGTCGCGTACCAATAGACGGATTACGATAAATTCCTGGACGATTCGTAATAAGGCCGTTTATTTACGATTGAAAAAATTTACGTAAAGGAACCTTTTCCAGTCGGAAAATTGCTTTTAAAACCAAACCGCAAGTAAATTACCTGATATTCAAATTCGTCGTGATAAACAAAGAAGTGTTTTGGGATAGTTAACAGTAACGCCTGGTTAAAAGCAAGTTTCTTAATGTTCAGTGACGACATTGGACAGCGCATTATGCGATAAATCTAATTTGTATACAACAGCATACGAAAGGGAATTTAAAGACAACTAATCGGTGCATTTTTCCTGCAACAAGACCTACTTAATAAATTGCCAAAAATTAATATCGACACATCGGGCATATTGGCCTTTTATTCCTGTGCATAGTCACGATCTCGATTATTACTTTCGCGACATTGAAGCCGGTTTGCTCGGGTTCGCAATACGTAGGGGCATTTCATTTTGCATTCATCACGGAATACCATCGAAGCGGTCTGTTACCATATTTCTAACGGGAACCGCATTTAAATTTATTGAGTTGTATAAAGTAGATGTCCGTTATTTTTAGGAATTTGCATAAGAAATTTTGTTCAAAGCAAATTTAATATTCCTAAAGAAATCGGTCCGTGAAAATTATTTGCACAAAACAGATTTTGTACTGTATTTATTGATCCAAACAAAGAATTTGGGGTATTTTGGTTCATTGTTTGGAATTTTGCATTTAATTTCACTAGTTGGATTAAAAATTTGTTTAGTAGGTATTCAGAACGACACAGAAAAAGGATTATTTCTATTGTTTCATATTTAGTGGAAAATGAATAAAAACAAAGAAAATTGCGTGCCAGGGCCTATTTTTGCTTCGGGTATATTCGTAAATTTATTATCTGGAAAATGTTATGTGCCATTTTTGATTCCAAAAAGGAAACCAGCAATATTTGAACTTTGCCCGCAACGTAAAACGTTTGTTTGTTGATTGGAAAATGAGGAATGGAGGGCAAATTATAATTTCATCCGCGCATTTTGAAGTAACAAATTAGATCAGTAAACGTGATAGCCCGCATGGGGCATAATATAACAAGTTTTATGTTTAAAAGAACCCCCTCAACACGAAATTAAGGATTCTGTACTCAATGACTAAAACGGCGCCTGCATTTAGTCATGCGGGAAGTTCTCTCAAATTTATCCATGACTGCGACCAATACTTGTTTGAGTATGTCAAATGTAATTTTGTTAGGATTTATTTAACAAAATACATCAAAAGCTTTTTCGCTTCACTCCATACTAAACCGAAATTTTCGGACCACTAAACCGTGTTTTTAAAATTCGTAAAGAAAGTTATAATTTGGGACGCTCCACATTTTCTAACATAAGAGAAACACTACATTACATCTAAAATCAAAAGACACGAACGAAAGAAAATTAGATCATTATCGGTAGCCTTCGCTTTTACAACATGTCGATTTTAATTGGATTACAAAATAAAAGGGAGGAAATAACAGAAATGATTACCTACTTTTTGAATTAGGCTTGTTCAGAGATGCATTCAAATTTGAAATTGCTAATGCACCTACAGTTTTAGGAACGTTTGTTGATTGGGCTTGATAATTTGCTAATCGGTCTTATTTCGATTCGTGTAACTTTTGAATTGTTGACATTTAACAATACAAGTTTTTATGAGTAATCCTGTTAGATAATTCCTTTGTTGTACAATTTGAATCCTTCTTAGTTTTGATTGTTAAAACTGAAAACAATGACAAGCTTTAAAACTAACTTTTCCAACAACATAGCCTAACCTTATGCTATACATACATTCGACGTTCAACTTAAAAAAAATATTGGCAGTAGCAGTAGATTGGATTTTGCAAAAAAAGTGCAACTATAAATTATGCTTACTTTATAGTAACGCCTCGAACTGCAGGGAAAAATAACTCATTATCCCATGTAGTTTCATCTCCAACTTCAAAATTAACGCTGTAGCATTCGCTGCTCGATTTCTGTAACAAAGAAAAAATTACGATCAGAAAAACTCAATTTCCAACTTTTCTGCAGCGGTAGTAAATCGATAAGTGAAACGCAGATTTAATTTTATGGGTCGCGGTTTTATAAATTAGAAAATCAAAGATCCGTTTTTTATGTCGTTTTTATTGGAAATATAATAACTCAGTTTCATACTTATTTGGCCTGAGTTAATCAAATGAGATATTATAGATTGAAGGATTTAGGACTAGAGCAATTTCAAATAATGCGAAAATGTTAATCGAAATCACTAAGCTACGCGGTTTATTAAAATTCCCATGAAGCTTTTTAGAGGATAAGAATTTCATATAAAATAATGTCATTTACAATGCCAATTACTCTACAAAGTAATTAATCAAGTGTTGCATGTTCAACCTAATCAACATTCCACTAAGAAATTAACAAGGTATTGTTGGCACCTGATGTTTCAACTACTACATTAAAACTGCTGTTTTCAGTAAAAGCTGTGAATAAGTAATACGGTCACCTACCTACAAAAGTGCGAATCGAAAATAGAAAATGGATTGGAGGAATTTCTTCTTACCTCGACTTACTTAACCGAAAAACCTGATAAAAATTCAAGTCGAGTGAAAAATGCCATGTCGATTCTGAAAACAGAATCCATTCAAAATCCTTATCCATATTATAGAGGAAAGCCTCTTTTACGTTTTTGCAAAATAATTCTATTCGTGTGGCGATTTCCATAGAAGAAGGTCTGAATACAATCGCATTCATTGATCCTTCTAAATCGATTTATGTTTGAATGATTCTTTCGTGTACATTTATGGGGTAGATTAAGTGCATATAGAATCGGGGCTGAAACACATTTTATCGGCTCTTTTAAGTCGCCTAAATAATATACTATTTCAATTTCGGAACGAGCTCGTGAAAGCTTTATTGGGATTGTTCGCACATTTGTCCAAATGGGGAAAGATCGCTCTTGCGAACAATTTTTCCGTCCGTACATCCTTTCCGTCTTATTACACTAATTAATATCTCGGTCAGGACACTTTTCTATCTGTCCACGTTATGCTAATTTTACTGATAAATGCTATTGATTACTGATACGAAGAAATAGTTTAGATGAAAAATATAGTTTACTGAATATCCTATAATAATAATAATGAAAAGTGCCACTGAAGTGAAATTTTCGGAATAGCTTACTTATGTCTCGTACATACATGTAGACGTAATATCTGTAATATAAATAGCAAGTAAAGGCTTAGAATAAATATTATCAGAATCTTCGAACTGTCGGTCACGTACCCAGTTTGAGATATAAAATAATTCCCCACCGAAATTGTGTAACTTTGTTTGAACGTAACATTAAGCCTTACAACCCTAGTGCTACATGGGGTCTTTCGAGCCTTTAAACGAACTGGTTCCGCGTTACCACGCAAGTGTTCCGGTCCCTGTAAGTGCTGCATTTAGTCCTTCAAACCTTCAACGAATTGGTGCCGCGTAACGGTTTACCGCAAGGGTTCTGGTCCCAGTCAGGTGCTACATTTTGAAGTGAGTTCAAGTGTCCAAAATAGTAAGCATGGACATGGAGAAGTTAACCACGGAGCAGTTCGAGCTCCCAAAATCCGTGGAGGAGTCGTTATCCAGTCTGAAGAAAAAAGTTGGAAAAATCCGACGAGCATCTCCGGCAGCTAGGGACTACATCAACAGAAAAACGAAACTTTCAGTCAATACCACTCACAGATCATGGCCCTGTCAAGTCAGGACATGGTTACTTCGCCCATACGCAAATCCACAGATTAGTCATGATCTACAATGAATAGGTACCTTAACGCTCTGTTAACGGCAGCTCCGATGAGTCCAAACGAGACAACATCTCAAGCGGAGATAAGAGGCAACAAGTGTATGTCCAGAAAGACGGCGCTGAGAACAAATGCAGACCCAACCGCCAACATGCCGTCACTAACAGTAACGACACCTGAAGGGCGAGAATCACAAGAAGTGGCTCTCCTAATCAACCTGGGTCACACGCACCCACAATGGGTAAAATTGGATAAGGAACGCTCAAACAGCTATTGGAAGTACAAACAGGTGAGGATTCCCAAAATCTGGGATGCAAGAAGCCCACGAAAAATCCCGAAAAAGGAGATTATCTAATAGTAGAAGTGATGTTCCCTTAAATACTGGAATCAACGTAAAAAAAGAGACTGTTGCTAGCTGCGACGCCGACGGTTAAAGAATGAAGTAGTAAAAGTTTGATAACCGTTTTAAAACGGTTTGTCCGTATTGTGAAAAGGTTAGTGCGAGTGTGATAGACAGAGCAATTGTGTGCTTAGTGAAAGTTAAGGCTTCTACTGTCCGAACAAGCACCGATGTGGAACATTGCTGATGTGTGGGAGGGGGGGGGGTCCAATTCGTTTTGAAGCGCTTGTCATAGAGCTTCAGTTAAAGAAACCGCTAGCACTAAACCGTCAATGGGATACACATTCCGAAAGGATTAAGTAACGCTATTTGTGATAGTATGAAGACAAACTTTTAGATGAGGTCAATTAACCGGACGTTTCGGGGAATAAACAATTCAGGAATGGTCGTGAAAATTCATTGAAAATAAACGCTTTCGATAAAACCAGCGTGTGGTAGATTTCGTATCTAGAAATGTCGAAAAATTAAACAATTGAACTACATTTTATTGAAAATAATCAGAAATATTGCTTAAAAAATTAGGCTAATAGAGCAAAAGTGTGTCGTTTGAACTCATTCAGAAGGAATTTTGGATTTTTCTTCCTTTTGAAATTATTTTGTCAGTTTTAATGAGAATATTCCATGAGTCCAGTTAGCTACATAAGGTGTTTTGTTTTTATATATATAATATTATTGTGATTGCGGGTTTAAATAGGGGAAATTATAAAGAAAAATGAAAGAGAAAGTGGGATCGATTTTTATTCAGCAATATAACCAATCATTTCATTTAAATTTGTATTTATTGTCTGCAATCAGCTCAGATGAAAGTAACAAATTTTGTTATTTTCAGCTAATTAATTGAAATTTTTTGTTGAGCTAGCCGTGGATCAGGTAATGTTTTTTTAGAAAATGTAATTAAATTAATGAAAATGAATCGAATGGAATTATTTGAAAATCAATTGAACGGAATTATTTGCGAATTAATCCATTTTGTTTTGACGTATTTTACAGTCCATACAACTTCAGCTTCAGCTTGGTGGAGAGAACTGGATGTATAGAGAGCATTCTTCATATGTATACAGGGTGCTAGATATTATAAGTATGCAAAAAAATTGGGTGGTAGAGGAGATCAAAGCAATCACTTTTTGCAAATGAAAAAGGGTCAACATGTTTCGTTTGGGAGCCGCCCTCAAAAAAGTGGTGAAATTTGCATTTCTTTTTTAATTTTTTTCTCAGCAACCGTAGTTACGAAGAGTGATGGTACGTCTCTGAATAGATGAATTTGCAATGTTTTTTCAAAATTCTTGCCACGAAAGCGCGCACCCCTAAATGGGGGCGCAAGAAAAAATTCTGACTTCAACAAAATCTGTTATCTAGGGGTTTCGGAAAATGACAATCACATCTCTGAAATCTGTTTTTAAAATTTCAAAAAAAATTCAGTGCAATTCTTGGTGAGGCAACGAAAATGGAGAGAATTCCACGAAATGCATACTTGGTGACTTAAGGAACAAAATTGTCAAACAGGTGTTTAAAATCACTACCTATTCAGGCAAAAGTTATATTCATTTGAAAATTGGTCCTTCGGGTCAGAAAGTATCCCCCACCTACTAGTGAGTCATCTACTTTCGCATGAGTTGATAATGTCGCGAATAACAAATAAATTCAGTAAATAATATAATAAAAATAAAAAACAAAAATGTCTGTTGCGATTGGGCTACATTTATCTGTTATTCTGTTGTAACGTTATTTTTGCACCGATTGGTATTCCTAATTGAAATTTAGCTTAAGTAACTATTTGATTTGTGCTCTTATTTAAATTTTTACTCTAATGTATCGGTATTTTGATTGGTAATTTCATATTCTTACACCAAATGTAGATTTCTGATTACAATAGTTCTTTGTTTCGTCGACCGAGGTCGTGCATATATTTTCATAATTAATCAATATTACGTTTAAGCTATAAAGAACAGTTAATTAGCGCCGACTAAAGAATAAACCCATTGTATATTTCGTGTAACAACGTTGGCAGAGTTCCAAGTGGCAGTTTAACATAGAACCAATTATAATCGCGGTTGGACGCTATTCGTAATCTATGAAAAAAACGAAACCTCTCCCCGTTGAATATTGTTTGTTTGAAATATTATGGAAACAATGACAACATTAAAGTCATCTACACTACACTATTAAGCAAGTGTATAAAGTGACGAAATCTTTCTGGCTATATAGTACACGTTAAAAAATACCACCGATTCAGTATCCGAAACATGTCCACTGTGTTTCTTCGCGGGAATTTTTTAGACAACTATCGACCTAAGAAATATCCCTTTCACAGAAGAAACGGAATCAATTTTGTATGCGATGGACACCACCGACTTTCAATTTCTATATGTACAAATTAAATTGTTTTGCTGGGATCCGTTTAATAATCTAAATCATAAGAGAAAGAGTTCATTAATGTAAAATAGGAATAGTGAAAATATGCTAATAACTACAATGAAGTCACTTACTTGAGATCTGGATAAAACATGTTTTCTAGCGGGCGGCTCCGCAGGAACATCATTCGTTGTAGAAATTGGAATCTCCGATAGAATATTAGCACCAGGAGGAATCGATAAGCTCTTCGCACAATCCGGTTCTGATCTTGAATCTTTTAAAGCTGATTCCGTACTGGGATCTACCGCCTGTCTCATCTCGATTTCATCTAAATGATTTAGACTTTTCGAGCGAACCTGAAACAAGTGAAAGTATAAGTAGGTTTCTTCAAATAAAAATCATAAAAAATTGCACTAGTAGATCTCATTTTTTTTCTTAGTGGACAACCAAGAACATCCTGCCGTTTAAGTACTGAGCAACTGCCTCATTTTCTTTAAAAACCATCAAATGGTTGCTATCTTGACACCATCTCAAAAAAAGTAAAATTTGTGGTACCTTTTTTGATGATTTTTCAACACACCCTTGTAAGGCAAATTCAGGAGTGTAGTTACTGAATATGATTGTTATTGTACGATAGATATCGTTCAAAGAATGGTGGGTGTACGAAAATTACTATGTTAGAACAGGAAGAGAGTTACTGAAGTAACCATTTATCCTACGATATACCGATTATTTATTGGAGAAAAAATGATTTTAGCTTTCGGGAGTGGAATCTAATATAATACAATATATATTCATTATAACATAAAGAGGGTAGATCGTCTTCATACATTGTACAGCTCAATAAACTCTTTTAATTAAAATACAGGAAAAAATTCCTTTAACATCGCCGCGAATTTTCCGCCAGTATATTCGATTGCTCTGTAAACTAGGTGAGTAATTAAATTTTTTTATTTATTTCAACAAGTAAGTTGCAATTTGTTTCTATGTCAATGCAAGCCCAACGGGATATTAAATATGATTTAATTAATTTTATTTAATGTTATCATTTTGAAGGGAATTAGAATGAAATAATGCTTTTTCATTACAACAAATTAACTAAAAATAGAACATCGAAGGAATCTCCACAAATGTAGAAGTATTTGTGAAGACCATCGTAATTGCAAACATTGAAAAAGCCGTATAAGACGCAATCAGCCTTGTTAATTAAATTAAATGGGAATGAATTTCGCAAAACAGTAACTAATCTAACAAGACATTTTCAATAATAATTCAATAATAAAACAATGATTTATATTGTCATAACGACACACCAAAAACTTATTCACAGCTTTTCACATTTAAATCTTGCACTGATAATGCTCATTACTGGTTTGCCTTCAGATTGTCGAGTTCTTCAGACAAGATATCTAGATGTGACAAACCTCTACGGTGCATATATGACGATATATCTAGTAGATGTCATTAACACACAAGGTACTTCCATTGTTCAACCGCGAACAGTTTAAATTTGAAGCTGTAATGACGCAATTATCGCAACTAATTGGAAAAGAAAAATGTACAGAACAATCACGAATTGGTTCTTACGACGGACTAAATAAGAAATACTATCTCTTTTAGAACTGCTTGTGCCTTTTCGTGACTATTTAATATTAAGCAACGTACAACACGACTTTAATAGAACATGATTATGAGGAAGTGGTTTAATTAGCTTAAGAGTCGGTAATTAATTCAGTAATCGATAGATAATTTACTACGAATTTTGCAACTAATATCCATTCAATTAAGCAATAAAATTTCTAAACATACGTATAAAATTGTTATAGATCATTAGAAAATTCTATAATAATTTATAATGAGATAATGTAGCGCCCAAGTTTACATCTCTCGAGTTTCGAATTACAGGAAGCCCGTTCAATTTCCTACATCGAACTATATACAACTTCCAACTTCCGCCTACTTTGATAATTGATTTAAGTGCCAATATGATAGAAACGACGATGGAAAAATATAGCTTGAATTCAAGATGGCGTACAGACGGCTAGAAAAACTTCCTCCTTAATTATAAATTTGGATTACAAAAATGTACTTGAATACTAGAATTACTTTTCAATTTGTCGAGAGGATTTCACGAATCCCCAGATATCTTCTCGAGACCGTAACGAAACGTCGCTATTAACAGCAGTGATTGTATTCCGCCTCAGCTACGCTAGTTTCGTAAAAGCGGATTTAGACCGTAGTCAAATGTAAAGTATACAAATAAAAGTAACACGATTAGTACACCTACAAAAGCTTGAAATGACGAGTTAAAAAGCTTAGATTCAATCGACATAAATCTTTACCGACATTTTCTGGCGATTGCATTCTCTGGAAACATACAAGATCGGAAGTTATTAGATTAGGAATAAAAATGGTTTTTCATCTGGCAGCGACGAATTCGATGGTACAGTCTTCTTTATAGCGATGTGACACATTTCCTTTTATTAGAGAAAGTCTGATTTAGTTTGGCAATACTGTTAACATGATAACACGAATCTCTTAGGCAATTAAATACGTAAGAAACATTGTTAATTTTAAACGGAATTAGCCATCTACATTTTATAAAACAAGGTAATTAAGAGAATAAATTAGCTACTTAAATCCACTCGCTCAGATTTTATAGGTAGGAAGGGTTTCAATTAAAATTAAGCCTTAAATTTGTTTGTGTTACTCTTATTAACTTAAATTGGCGATACGGAAACGTGAAACCCTTTCTTTGTAAGGGGATTAATGTCAAGGGTTAATTAGATGACGATTTATTTTATAAAATTTCATTAAATTCTCATTTAATCAACAATTTTAAAAGGTGAATAATCCTTTTTTCTCAACGTCAGTATTAAGTTACAGCGTGACGAATAGATTGTGTAATTTTGTCTTTGAAGAATTTGAGTTTGATCATATTTTTTTATTGGAACTAGTTATATGGTGCGCTTAATCTGAATTTCAAATATCTAACAGTTAAAGTAGCTCTAGAAACTGCACTCATTTGCATATAATAACAGCAGTTGATTGCATATCATGACCATAGAAGTTAATAGAATCTAACACTAATTTGAAACTTGGAAATAGCCCAAACTTTCATTAATGTTTTCAAAACTATTTCTAACTTTTGCTACAAAATCGAAAGTTCCTGCAATAGTCATAGCAGGAGTTTACAGCTTGAAACTTTCGATACATCTATTAATTGATATACGTTGTCTGCGGATTACATGGCAGTTAAGGATCGAAACTGTACTTTGCATAAAAATAGTTCTCGCAAACTTCGGTTCGCCTTAAGGCGTATCGAACGTCGGTTTTGCCGTATGTAGCGAACGGATTTGCTTAGGAAATGTGCAATAATACCTTTTCCTTGCGGTGTTTGCTCTATTTGTATACGTGAATTGGAAACTATCCGAGAACTAGTAGGGAAAATAATGAAAACTTTTGCTTGACGTTTTCCTTTCCAGATTGCGGTTTGCTAAGCACTCGGAAGTGATCACATCTGCAAATGGCTACAATAGCTCTGCGAGTCGGAAAGAATATGGTAGTATAATAACAGTTGGCCGAATAACAGTCGTTAAAATGAAAACTTCCGATTAAGCCGAAAGCTCAATTACGCTAGGAACATCATACTTATACCGTTTTCATCTTAACGGTTTTGAAGATTTTATTATTTAATGAAAGCTGGTTCAGGAGGACGGGGTTGAGAGCGTTTCGCTATAATGGAATAGGTTTTACATAAGCTTTTCAAGTGGAATCAATTCCAATACTGTTGTTATCGGAAATTCGTTTCAAGCAGGATTTCAATTTTTAAGGTACACGTTTACATTTTCGTGCTCCTGATACTAATTTCATTAAAATAGTTTTCTGAAAGGAATGTCGGGAAGAATTATTCCGCCATACAGATGCATTGTAATTGTTATTCCATTTCGACTAATGAACCCAAGCAGCCCTTATTTACCTTGCCGTCGTAATTAAATTTTGTGGTCCCTCATCCGGAATATATTATTATAGTCGATCCGATCGGTACACAAGAATCTACAAACGAGAAATCTAGTATCTAGGATAAATTGATAGTTTAGAATTTGTAGATTTCTAATAATTAATACAGAACTGCAACGGACAGATCAGCATTCTGAAAAGGTATCTTGAGGTGAATTTCACGAATGCCAGAATCTTTCAATATAAATTCCATAGTATTTTTCCAACATTTTAACATCGCTGAGTTACTGTATCGTTTATTTTACCGTTCTTCAGTTATCCGTAGCCTTTTAGATCGCCAGTACGCACGAGGCCGGATAAATTGCCTCCATTTTCGGAGACCATAACACGCCGCCCGCCGCCATCTTGGTCCAAGAATCCACAACGCACCATCCAAACTATCGAGCCTAAGTGGCGTGCCGTTTCAGGATAGTGTCCACATACTAATCGACAAATCATTTTATCATATCCGTCTAATTGTATAGAATAGTCAGTCCGTTTGCTATCGATGGTTGCGAGCTATAAAGTCACCCGGCAAGGAAGGAGTCTTATTGCTTACAGACGTGTTTGTTGCAACATAATAATGACAAATGAGTGTCTGTTTTTTATTTTCACTTTTTGTGCATTTCAGACACCCTGTTTAATTTGATGTGGGAATGAAACAAACTAAACATCAAACAAAAAGAGTTCAAAATAAACATTCCCTTTACGATGTTTAATTCTAACACTTTCAATTACTTCTCCCACAGGAATTTGTTACACGCGAATGTATTAACAAGACATCGTCTACCCATGCTTTGGTCAGTACCTGTTCAATTTTTTATCCAGGCCCTGAATTTTCCAATTGCACAATTCCTCACAGTATAGAATGGACGGAGGGTATTCGATTTCTGTTTCATTTGGGAGTTGACAAATACTTAACGATTGGAAGTAGAGATACGCACTATAATTATCCGAATCGATCAACCAATGGCTAATCTGTGTTGGTTGAACTAATTTTCAATTAAAACCACGTTTTAGGCTCTAATATTTCAACGCAAATAATAACCTTTATTTATTCGAGTTTAGTAATAGTGCGTTTGCGTGTTTAAGTTTTAGTGATGAAAATATACTGTCATATTAATGGATGGTGTTTACACAAGTTGCCATTAATTACACGGAAACTTTGTGTGCGATAACATCATTATAAAAATTATTATGATAGTTCGTGGTTGTTTCCAAGCCGGACATTAAGAATTAAATATTGCTTTGCTTGTCCGATGCATTTTCCTTTTTTTTTTGCTATGGCTGATATATCGGGGGACTCTGAAACTAACTGCGCTCCAAATGTTCCAATGCCAACGCCCAGTTAAAAAGG